TACCTCCACGGCGCGGTTCCACCGATCCCCCGGTCGGACCCGGGTACCCGGGAAAAGCCGTCAAGCCGGTCCTAGCCCGGGCGGGCGGGCGGGTGCCCGGGTTGCCCGGGTACCCGGGACAAGCCCTACTTCAAGGTGTGCGAGACTGGAAATTCCACACCGACGATTTTCATGAATGGAGTTCTTCACACCTGGTTTCACAGTGCACCTGCAACACGCTGATCCGGGTGACAGCGTTCCAGGGTGCGCTGTCGTGCGCTGGCGTGCGCCCGGCCCGGGCCGCGTTTGAACTCGGTGCCGGACGGCGCCAAAAGAAAGTTAATTAATTGCGTTAGTATCCCCATCTTCCGCTCCAAGGATCAAATGACCCCGAGCGAGTGAAAATAATTCACGTTGCTGCACCGCACGGGAAAAAAAGTCGCAGGACCCTGAATCAGCATTTTGAAAGCGAGGTGGGCGTCGGGGTTGTCGAGGCGCTTCGCTTAGTCTCATCCGTGACCAAGAGACACCCAGTCCCCCCGGCATGTTCCAATTATTCGAGAATTTAGTTCCTAACCGTTTGTAGTCTCGGAAAAGAACGGCTCGTTTCGGAAGTAAAACAAGGTTTGTGGGTGAATTTTCACCCAAATCAAGAGGAATTGTAACCCGGAATGAGCAAAACTTGGCATGTAAACCTTATTTCGCATACTCAGGCCGGTTAGGGGGTTGTTCAAAACAGTTGATTTCCTTGTCAGTGCGGGAACCGGCGGGAACTCAATCCGGAGAGACACACAATGCCACAAAGGCCTGGCGCGTGGAGTGGTGCCGATCAGGCGGGGGAGCTGGGGACAGTTTCGCAAACACACCGGATGCCAAAAGAACTTAGCGCGCTACTCAGCTTCATGATTATGCTCTCATTCCGGGAACCTGACACGGATCACATCCGTTTGAACGTGAAACGTGCCACGTTAATTTCAATTCTTATCACGTCTGTTGTTTGAACGTGAATCGTGTCATTTCTATACTTTGTCACATTCGTTTGAACGTGAATCGTGTCACGCTCGCTCAATACTTTGTCGCATTCGTTTTAGGGATCGAGGTCACCGTGGGCACGACCGCACATCTACGGAAACGAAATCATTCAGTGGCCGCGTAATAATGAAAACGCAAACCAGCAGAACGACGTACTATACATCGTCACTCTCATCAGCAAGAGCTTCCTAGTCCCATCCGGGCGCAGCGACAGCGAAGCGTGCGGTACAGCGCACACTAATACGCCAAGTTTCAAACTACTTGACATACATGTTTGCTCTGCTCCGCTCTGGCTTTATTCAAGTGGACTCAATATCCTACAGAACCCGAGACTGTACTGAAAGTCTGCTGGCGCGCATCAGGCTGGTATAGTTGTCTGTTGACTTGGCTTTCAGTCGTCGAGGTTTTTTTTAAATGGTGAGTGAAAGAACAAGTCTGGAGGCTGATCGTGCGACATTCATTATTCAGAACGGCCGAGTAAACGTTGAAATCACAACGAGCAAAAGGTATATTCCGGTGCGGATATCACATGAAAAGCATCCGACAGTACATTTCATCAAGAAATGGGTCGCCGTCTGCTGAGCCCTCCAAAAGAGCATTGTGCCGAGCGCCGTGCACCGTGCGCCGGCAGAGCCGGGCAGAGCACTCCAGGTGCAGTTCCTGAATGGAGGACTTAGTGCCATTTTGATTTCCTTGATCCGGGCCGGAGACGCAGTGCACGGCGAATGGGACCTTTGAGTCGTCTGCAAGCTCTAAGGAACAAAGATGAAATGGAAGGCGAAAAAAAACCGTCTCGGCTGAACAAATTGTATAGACGAGGTTTTGTCACCAGATGTGGTCCCACCAGTTTTAATTCTCGCAAGATGTACACAATTTTACTTTTATTTTATTTGCGCGGAATCTCGAGAAATAAAATCCCGCCAGGTAAAAACCAATTTAGATATTATAGTTAAGGGTGTCACCATAATAATAATGTTAACCAACTTAATAATTTCCCACCAGGTATAAACCCTAAAAGACAAATCACAAGTATTTTATTAAATTTCGTGCACGTTTAAATTGGGTCAAAAGGTGAGGCGCACGTAATTGTACTTGCAAGTCAACATAATATCTGATGTGCATATAGGGCACGTTGGCAGTGCCGGCGCACAGACAACGCCAAGCGATGCGGAGGCAGCACTGGATGGCTGGACATCGAGCCATTGTACTGAATCAAACATTTCGCATTAATTAGTCCGATGAAAGCGCTTCCCTATGTCTGTTCGTAGACACACAGCCTACGAGTCCTGCGTGTCATATTAAGGCGGGTTTACCCTCGGCTCGCTCGATAACGTATAACGATCGTCCTCACGAGGTTTTCCGTAAAATGAGGTTTCTGAAATAGGGCTAGGGCTTTTACCCTCACAGTCTATTTTACGGAAGAGTGACGGTCACAAAAAAACCTAGCGGCTGAACAAACTCTGATGATAAGACACGGTGAACGTCTGCTTTTCATCTTCACCTTTTTTGCGGACCAATTTTTGGTCTTTTATAAATCTGTTCGATCCTGGTCGAAAAATAGTTGCGCGCGTGGAACTCCTTACGTAATTTATGATTCTCGCGTTATTCACGCTGATTTTCCATTCTGTCGGATCTTCCAACACGGTCACAAATAATCCAGGTGGCCGTAAGGGAAGAAGTCTTCCGTAATAAGCCGATGCCCCCGTAAAGACGGAAACCTTACGTTTCGGAAAACCGTCACGTTGCTGTCGAGCGAAAACGAGAGCAAAGCCGGCTTTAGTTATAGGCCGTAATGCAATAGCCGATAAATGCAGTCGAAAACATGCTTTTACAGTGACTTAAAAATAAGCCCGGGCCTGACGCGCTTTTTCGTTTGTCAACAAACATGTCGACAGTCTTGTGTCCCTCGCGTCGTTGCATGTGCATCCCGCCCCGTTCAGCAGAAAGAGAAAGAGAGGCAGGACGAGCAAACCGGAGATGACACGTAGTTAAGTCACATTCGGCCGTGTCCACCACAGACGGCCCTACGGCCCAGCCCCCGCCCTAATCCCGCTCCCACACTACCCCCCCCCCCCCTCCTCCTGGCACCCTCCCCCTCCCCTCTTCCCCGCGATCAATAACATTGCGTCATTTCCGGGGAGCTGCAGACAGGGCGCATGGTGACGTCACGCAGCATCCTCTCTATCCACCTCATCCATGCATTTCATCCCCTCCCCCAAACCCTCCCTCGCCGACCCGGTCCGCCTCATCCATACTCATCCGCCCAGCCATCTCGTCGCACCGCCTTTCTCCGAGCGTGCGCCGCCCGTACACTTTAATTTAAAACCTTTTTTGTTTGTTTTCGTTCCATTTCGCGCTGAAAAGCCGAAAGCCCAGAGCGCGCGCGGCGCTCTCTCCGGGGCTTTCCGAGAGCCGCCTCCGCTGCGCCTCGGCGCCGCCACGATGTCCGATATCAATTCCATCTCCCTCCCGCCAGCACGGTGTATGATCAAGGCGAAAAAGTCGCCCCCGTCCCGGCGACGGTGAGCTGGGGCTCAGCGGCGCGGTGCAGCCAAGTGCAATCGCCATTGCCTCGCGGCTCTGTCTGCTCCGTGACGCGCCTCCCCCTGCCCCCTCCCCCTGTCCACACGGTCCACACACATGCACGCACACACGGCGAGGCGCAGCGCGCGGCGAGGCGCGTCTCCCGGGCCGGCGACCTCCCTCCCGCGACGTCTAGTCGTGCTACGCGTCGCTGTGCGGCGCTGTGCGGCGCTGTGCGGCGCTGTGCGGCACTACGCAATGGCTACGCAGCGTGGCTCCACCGTGCTGCGTCACCACGTCGCTGCGACGCTGCACGCTGCGCCGCGCTGCGCCGGCGTGCAGCGCCCCGGCGGCCCCTACGGCCCCTACGGCCCCAACGCGGCGCGCGGACGCCAGGTCAGTGTGCCGGGCCGCCGCGTAGCCGCGCCGCAGCGTGGCGCGTCATTCTTACGCTATTCATGGAGCGGCGCTGCGATATTGGCCGCCGCATTCCGTGTCTATAACAGAAGCGCGCCGTGGAGGGGGAGGGGGAGCGGAGGGGGAGGCTGTGATCCGATCACCCGGCCAGTGCCCCGGAAACACGGCACGGCGCGGCACGGCGCGGCACGGCACTGCACGGCACGGCACCGCCAGGCAAAGGCCAGGCCTCTCCAGCCACGGTCCGGCTCCACCGTGCTTCGGCCATCCGGAGCGGTCCGGGCAGCGAGAGGCCTCGCCGGGCTTCGCCGGGCCGGGCCGAGGCCGCGCTACGGCTAACAATGGACCTTCATGGAGATAGGATTTGGCGCCGCTAAGAATAGCCCCCTGATGGTCGGGGCGCCGGGGCCGGAGTCGAGGATTCGTCTCTGGCTCCGTGCTCACTCCCGAAGTAGGACGCGTCAAAATTGGCCGGCAAGCGCTCCACTCTAGGAACGTGGCGCGACGGGAAGTCACACTGCTGCGAAGGGGAAGGGGGGCTGTTTCTTGAACCAACATACTTGCATCAAGCCAATTTACGTCGAGGAGGTAAACACTCGCGCAATGCCCTGTACCCACAAGCCCGGCATGACGCGGAGTGTACGTCAACTGAATGCCATTTTGGGGTCGAATGCGGCCAAATTGCAGCATTTTGGTGCCGTAATACACGTTACATGCCCCGAGCAGCCTGTACACGATTTGTCAGTGTCTACCCCCTGCATATTTCGAGTAAGTTAACTTATTGCAAGTCAATTTTCTTGGCTCAAGAAACGGCTTCCTTTAGTACCAGCTCCGACACAAAAATAAAAGGTACTGTATGCAGTGCCGCCAACACGCCCGCATCGTTCCTGTGGCCTGCTCTGGCCTTTGAGGAGCGCAGTGTCGACAGCATACCTCTCATTTTGTCTCGGAGTTCCTGGCGCCCTCCCTCGCACTCAATTCCTTACATTTCCCGTGCCGGCCCTTTAGTCAATCTCGTGGGGACGTCCTTTCGCGACGACGCTGCTCACCTTGTTGGAGCGCAGCGTGACTTTGCCGCCACATCGCGCGCAGCAGCGGATGTTGCAGTAGTGGCAGACGTGGCCCACGCCGTCCGCGAACTTGGTCTTGAGGCAGATGTGGCACGTGGCGTCCAGCTCCACGCCCGCCTTCTTCTGCTGCTCCGAGCGCTGCCGAATGCTCTCCTCCAGCACCTGGACCTCATCTTGCTTGCGCCTGGAACAGAAGCAGCACCGTCAGCCATCCATCGCAAGATCCTCCCGAGAAAGGCTTCGTATGACACACCACAAGTGGGCCAGGAGACCGGTGTTGAGGCGGGCAAAAGTCTAGACGCGTTTGAGCTCCGGAGTCGCTAATCAGGACTCGAACCGAACCGGAGAGCAATCCATTATGGTGGAGTCACACGTACGGTTCGAGTCCTGTTTAACAACTCTGCAGCTCAAAACTCGTCCAGAGTTTTGGCCGCCTCCACTGTGCGCACCAAAGTTCCCCTCATCAACGAATCGGCGAATACACTGTTGAATACACGGAATTCCCGCACGAATCGATGCTATTCTGCGCGCACAACATGGTATAACAGAGACCTGTCACAGATTCAACTTCACTTTGAAACTTTGAGAGTGCACTGCCGGGGCGGCCGAGTGGCGCTGAGTGGTGCGGCGGGACGGGGCGCCTGCGGTGCGCGGCATAGGCCGGCCCGCCCAACACAGCGGTGCGGCGGGCCAGCGTGCCCCATTTCCATGCAATTGCCACCATAATTGACGGCTGGACCACAAATATTGCTATTGCTATTGACGGCTTGACCGCAAACGATTGTCTGCCTTTCGCGCCCGACCGGCTAAAGCGCTTTGCGCGCAGCTCAGCGCCGTGCGGGCCTCACTGGACCGGGCCGGACCGCGCTCCCCGCCCCAGCCCAAGCCGGCGAAGCACTCAGCGTTCTGCTGGTTCTGGTCCATACACATGAGCGCATGAGTTCGGGTGAGTACACTGACTTGCAAATCTCACGAAGCTCATATTTTCAGCCGGTTTAAGGCTTTATTTGGCGTTTCAGACGGCAAACGACACAAAATCGATCAGAAATTAGAGAAGTTTGCTCTTCTGAAACGTGATTACGAGCCAATCAGTGCACACCAGTACACAATAGTGATTCGCCCCTCGTCCAGGCTGCCTCCAGGCTTCCTGCAGAGGCCGCCTCCAGGCTGCTTCTAGGCCGCGCGCTCAAACTGGGGCGAGGTCCGCGAGGTCCCCTGGGCGGCGGAGGCCGGTGGCAACTCGGTTAGTGGCGGAGTGCCTTAGGAACTCTGACGTCAGGCCGCCGCCGACGTGGCGCCGCCTTGTCTCTGCTGTGCATGGGCGAAGCCAAGCGGCAGAGTGCACCCTGCCTCCGCCCTCGCACCGAACGTCACTGCAATTTTGAGCGAGACGTTGCCGTTTCTGGTGCACAGTCTTTTTTTAAACGTTTTGCGCTTGAAGCCTCACTGCACTTGTTCCCCCGTTTGAATGCAAAATCGTGCAGGAATTCATAGGAAAAGTTCATATGCGCTAAAATAAATTGCAACGTTTCACTGAGTATGAAGACCAGAATTGAAATATTATGAGTGAAATATGTATATGTTATCACTCAAATTTGGGTGATAGTGCTATCTAGCTTATATGCAGATAAGCCAACATCATCCTAAATTTGGGCGTGGAAACCTTCATCACGATGAAATATTTTGGGTAACAAAGCGGAGCAGAGTTATACCACACCCAAATTAAGACTCTTTCATTCCCGCGTGCTGGCACAAAATTGGTCGGGAACAACGTGTGGGGTGCGCGTTTTGCCGCGTTTTGCGGCCTGCGCCCCCCTGCCGCCCCCTGCGCTGCGACCGCAGAAGTCATCGGCGTGCGGGCCGGCACCGCCACCGCGGTGCCACCGCCCACCTGCCCGGGATGAGCGGGGCAGGGCGGCGCAGGGCGGCGCAGAGCGGAGATGGCTTTGTAATGGGGTTCAGGGGGTGGCGGCCCGGCGGCCGGGCGGGGCGGCCTGGCGGGCCAGCGGCTGTCTGCATGGCGCCGGGCAGGGCCGGGCAGGGCAGGGCAGGGCCGGGCAGGGCAGGGCAGGGCCGGGCAGGGCAGGGCAGGGCCGGGCAGGGCAGGGCAGGGCAGGGCAGGGCAGGGCAGGGCCGGGCAGTGCCGGGGCAGGGTGCCGAGGCGGAGGAAGGGGAAGGGAACAGGGCCGGCAAGGGCCGGCAAGGGCCAACCCCGCGTCTAATCTCAATCTCCATTAGATCGATGCCAGGCACAGGGGTACGGCTCTGATCAAACTCTTCTCCGGTGCATATCTGAATCAGGCGGAGTGGGCAGCATTGGCTCTGTAACCTCCTCCCCCCCCTTTTCCACTCGCTATGTTACCGGGCCTCTGTGGCCCTTCGCTGCCCCCTCCCCTTGCCCTCCGCCACGCCACGCCGCGCCACGCCACGACGCCGCGCGCTCCATCTAGCGCCCTTCCGCAACAGCGTCGCCCCAGTAAGAAATTTGGCAGCGACGTGGAATCGATGACGGGTTCCGCTCGACGGCGAATCGACGTCGCGGTCGCGGCGGTCGCGCGGCCCCAGGAGACTCTGTCTCTCCGGAGGGAAAGCCCGCGAGTGCGAGAGAGACCGAGAATGACTCGACGGGCAGCACGTGTCGGGGCAGTGCCAATGCCAGGGCCGTCTCCAAAGTGGCGCTTCCGGCTTGCGCGAAGGCGGGGCCAGGCGGGGCCAGGCGGGGCCAGGCGGGGCCAGGCGGGGCCAGGCGGGGCCAGGCGGGGCCAGGCGGGGCCAGGCGGGGCCAGGCGGGGCCAGGCGGGGCCAGGCGGGGCCAGGCGGGGCCAGGCGGGGCCAGGCGGGGCCAGGCGGGGCCAGGCGGGGCCAGGCGGGGCCAGGCGGGGCCAGGCGGGGCCAGGCGGGGCCAGGCGGGGCCAGGCGGGGCCAGGCGGGGCCAGGCGGGGCCAGGCGGGGCCAGGCGGGGCCAGGCAGGGCCAGGCGGGGCCAGGCGGGGCCAGGCGGGGCCAGGCGGGGCCAGGCGGGGCCAGGCGGGGCCAGGCGGGGCCAGGCGGGGCCAGGCGGGGCCAGGCGGGGCCAGGCGGGGCCAGGCGGGGCCAGGCGGGGCCAGGCGGGGCCAGGCGGGGCCCGACTTGCCAGCCCCGAGAAATCAGGTCGCGTTTCCACTGCCAGCAGCGCAGTTGCACTGCCATTGTCCGCCACTGCGTTGCACTGCCCCCTCCGCGATGTCTCTTTGCCCGCCGGCCCGCCCGGCCAAGGGTGCTTGATTGCGCCAACGCCGCCTCGCCGCCTCGCCGCCCCAGAGCCACGACACTGTTTGCAGGCCGTTTCCGCTACCCCCTTTCCTTCCCGACAGACCCCCTTCCAGCAAGACGTGTTGTTTATCCGCCCTTGTGCCTTGAATGAACTCGATCCGACTCACTCGAACCGTGCGGCTGCCCTTGCCGCACCCCCCCCCTTCCCCCTTCACGCTGGCCACGACAACAAGCTGCGCGTAACAAAACATTTGAAGGCCCATTGATGTCGATCGCGGTGCGGTGCGCGGTGCGGTGCGCGGTGCGCGCAGGCTCATTGCGAACAGCGATTTTGTCGCGCTGTCTCTCTCGCACTCGTGGGACGTGGGGCGCGGCACCGCGCGGCACTGACAGCCCGCGACGATTGGAATCAGCAGACTGATTCCGACTGTCGTCTGTCTCTCTCGCACACATTCCCCACGAGTGTGAGAGAGACAGCGCGACAACGACTGTCGGAATCAGTCTGCTGCCTGGCGCGCGTTTCGCTGCCTCGGGCTGCCTCGGTCTGCGCCGCTGCGGTGTGCGCACTGGGTGTGCGGTGTGCGCTCGGTGTGCGGTGAGCGGTGTGCGCACGGCGTGCCGTGGCGCCGCTTGCCGCTTCTCGGCTCGTCCGCGCCGAAGCGCAGAGCCGCGCCGAGCTGCCGCGCCGAGCTGCCGCGCCCTGCCGAGCACACCCCCAAACATTCCTGCGAAAGCAGCGATGAATTCGGCTGCCTCGCCTGGCGGAGCCTGGCGGACCTAACGTGGCGCAGCGTGCAGCGAGGTGTGGCGTGGCGCGGCGTGGCGCGGCGTGGCGCGGCGCGGCGGATTGCGATTAAGAGGGCCGCGGAGGGGAGGGGAGGGGGAGGGGATGCACGCGCCGGCCGGGTGGGACGCCCCCCTCAGCCCCCTCCCTGTTTGTTTACTGAGGCGAGGAGGGTGCGGGGGGAGCAGCGGCGTGTGATGGCGGGGCTTACCTCATGATCTCGTTCTCGTGCTCCTCCTCCCTCTTCTGTCGCATCATCACGGACTCGATGATCTGCCGCTCCTCGGGCGTGAGGTGCGATAGGTCGGGCATGGCGGCCATGCTGTCCCCCAGCACCTCGACGACGTCCTCGGATTGCAGGGCGTCTGCGTCCACGGCGTCCACGGCCTCGACGGCCTTCCCCGGGCCCGGCCACGACCACGGCACACGCCCTGGCCCCGGCTGCCCCGGCTGCCCCGGCCGCGCGTGCGGCCACACGTGCGGCCCCTTCGCCGCGGGTGGCCCCGGCCCCGGCCACAGCCCCAGGCCTGGGCGGGCTACGGCATCTCTGCCCAATGCCTAGCGGGGGCCTGGCCTTTGGCCTAGGCTTTGGCCTGGCGCTGGGGCCGCGCGGCCGGCCGAAGAGAGGGCCGAGCAAGGACACAGTGCACAGGCACGGCGACGGCGGGACGCACGGCGGAGCGCACGGCCGCACGCTGGGCCCATGCATGGCCACGCCACTGAGTGCTGGCCACGGCCTCGGCCTGGGCCTCGGCCACGGCCTGGGCTTGGGGCCTGGGGGCCGGTCGGCCTGGCCCACATCACATAGCACCCTACACCACCACGACACACGGCACGCGGGGCCCTTCGGGCGGCCCTAAGGGCGCCCAGCTCGGTGACGCCCCCGAGTCGGCACGGTGCGCGGCGACAAGTCACGAAGTCCTAGGGCTCTGGGCACGGCGAGGACGCGAGGGCGAAGCACCAAGCCCGATTGAGGCACTCCAATCCACTCCAAAGGTCCAAAGGGATACACGGGCGCGGCGCGGCGCACCCTCCCTCCTCGCCGTCTGTCTCTCCACTAGCACGGCGAGCACGGCCAAGGCAGAGGGGCACCACGAGGTTAAGGGAGGCGAAGGCCCCTGTACTGGCCCAACCGCCCCGACCGCCCCGCTCGCCCCGCGTGCCCCACCAGCCCCGCCTTCCCCGCCAGCCCCACCCCCAACGCGGCCTGCAAAGCCCAGCTCCCTCCCACCCCACACGCCACCCTCGCCGCGCTCTGGCCCGGCCTGGCCTCGTACCCGCCGCCCTCACACCCCGTCCCGCGGCTCTCTCCCCACGCCGCGCCCCGCCGCGCCCCGCCGCGCCCCGCCGCGCCCGCATGGCGTGGCACAGCGTCACGGAACGGGGGAATGGGAGCGGGGAAAGGGGAAGGGCGGAGGGGAGGGAGAAGGGCCTCGCCGGAGCAGGCGGAGCCAAGGCACTCCCGCAACATTACCGCATCGGCCACCCCCGCCCTGCCCCGCCCTTCCCCGCCCTTCCCCGCCCCGCGGCGCCACCTCCCTCCCTCCCGTGTGTGTAGTTATTCCTCCTTCTCTCTCCCGTTGCCAACCTAGGCTGCTGCTGCCCGCGGTTTGCCTGCCCGCGGGAAGGTGGCGAGGAGAGCACGGGGTGCGAGAGCACGGCGCGCGAGGAGAGCACGCAGGGTGCGTGCGAGGAGAGCACGCAGGGTGGGAGGAGGGCACGCAAGGAGCGTGCGAGGAGAGCACGCGGGGTGCGAGAAGAGCACAGAGTTTCAGAGCACGGGTTTTCATTTGGGAGAACGAGGTGCGTGACCAGAAAAGGAACCGAGGAAACTTCAGCAAGCCGGGTGATTTGGAGACTGCCTAAAATCCATTATTTTGACCATGAATGTGGCTGTTTAACTAATTCGAGTCACCACTCGAAATCCAAAGGTGACACTTTCAGTATCCTTTTAGCGATACAATTCAGTATCGCCAACAAATGGCCTTACCGAAATATCTAGCCTACAAAACGGCGATACACAAAAGCATCGCCAAAACTTGGCGATACTTTTGAGTATTGCCAAGATTTGACAATGAACTTGGGACATATCAAGGGGACTAGTTGCCAGATTTTGGCAATACTCAAAAGTATCGCCGAATTTTGGCGATTTTTGGCAATTTTCGCCGTTTTGAAGGCAAGACTTTTCGATAAGGCCGTTTGTAGGCGATACTCAGTTGTATCGCCAAAAAAGATACTCGTGTATCGCCTCTGGATTTGCAGTGACTGTTGGATAGACAGTCGCTCTCCTAAACTAAACTAAACTAAACTAAACTAAACTAGGTGAAAATTGTCATCTTACTGGTTAAAAGTTGACTTTGAACACGCATCAAAAGGACCGCACCGCAACGTGCCCAAGTCACCCCAGCTACAGTATGGCTCGCGGGGTCGAGTACACAAAACTCACTAGCACGGAGTTCACGAGCACTAAACACGAGAACGGGGCACACGAGCACAGGGTACAGGCGGAGATGCGCGGTGTACAAAGAGCATGGGGGACCCGAGCATGAGGTACACGAGCACGGGGTGGACATGGGATACGCGAGCAAAGGAGGAGTGGGGGGGGGGGCTAGCCGCGAAAGCTAGCGCCTTTGGCTGCGCCCTGCGCCTTTGCCTGCCCCTTTGCCGGGGCGGCCTATTCTCTTCCTCACGTCCACTTTCTTGTTCTAGGCTTGTTGACACCTTTCTTTTCCCGGCGCCTTTGTTTTCAGCCTATGCTGCTCCGCATGGCTCCGCGCTCCGCGCCGTCCCCACCCCCTCCTCGGCAGCCTCGCCAGCCTCGGCAGCCTCGAGCGCTCGCGATTCCGCACAGTGGTGTCGCCTCTCTCTCTCTCTCTCTCTTTCTCTTCCTCACTCCTCTCTCTTCTCAGTCTCTTGTCACTCCTTTTCCCTCCTTTGTTATCAGCTCTGCCCGCAACGGTGCCCAAAACGTCCCTCCCCCTCTCGCGCTCCAGCTCGAGCTGCAGGCTGTCCGCAGAGTGTTCGCCACTTCTCCGGGCCCTCTGCGGGTTTCGGCCAATTCTGTGCCCCTTTCCACGTGTGACAGGGTCCAGGGGAAGAGGAAGAGGGTGGGCTAGCGCGACGCGGCTTGGCTGCGCCGGCTTGCCGCCTTTGCAGGGGCCTATTCCTGTCCTCACGCCACTTCGTCTAGGCTGCGACACGGCGGCTGGCGCTTCCCGGCTGGCCGTTGGTTGCAGCCGCTGCTGCCGCATCGGCTGCCGCGCTCCGCGCCGTCGGCGCCACCCTGGCCGCTCGGCTGGCGCTCGGCTGGCCGCTCGGCTGGCCGCTCGGGCCGCCTGGCCGCTCGGCTGGCCGCTCGGTGGCCGCTCGGCTGGCCTGCTCGTGCTGGCTCTGCTCGGCTGGCCGCTCGGCTGGCCGCTCGGCTGGCCGCTCGGCTGGCCGCTCGGCTGGCCGCTCGGTCCTCGGCTCCGCTCGGCTGGCCGCTCGGCTGGCCGCTCGGCTGGCCGCTCGGCTGGCCGCTCGGCTGGCCGCTCGGCTGGCGCTCGGTGTGCCGCTCGGCTGGCCGCTCGGCTGGCCGCTCGGCGGGCCCGCTCGGCTGGCCGCTCGGCTGGCCGCTCGGCTGGCCGCTCGGCTGGCCGGCTCCGGGCTGGCCGCTCGGCTGGCCGCTCGGCTGGCCGGCTCGGCCTCGGCCGCTCGGCTGGCCGCTCGGCTGGCCGCTCGGCTGGCCGCTCGGCTGGCCGCTCGGCTGGCCGCTCGGCTGGCCGCTCGGCTGGCCGCTCGGCTGGCCGCTCGGCTGGCCGCTCGGCTGGCCGTGTACCGGCGTGACGGGATGACAGGCCGGACTGTCCGACTGCCTGACGGGCTGGCGGGTCGACGACGCGGCAGCGGTGTAGCGATGCAGCGCGCTGCAGCCGACCAGCCAATCAGCCCCACGCGGCACGCGGCCCGCTCGGAGGCGGCGTGAGAGGCCTGCTGCTTGACGGGCTGACAGCCTGACGACGGTGCAGCGTAGCAACGTGCTGCAGCAGTCTGATTCCGATCACTGCTCTCGTCGCTCTGTCTCTCTCGCGCTCGGGCGTCCCCTAAGGGTGCGAGAGAGACAGCCTGCAGCCGGCCGGCCAATCATCCCCGCGCCGTCCGCGCCGTCCGCGCCGAGGCGGCATGAAAGGCCCGCGGCTCGACAGCTGTGCGACAGCGGCCCGCCCGGCCTGCCCGCCCGGCCTGCCCGCCCGGCCCGCTCCCGCCGTGCCGCCATCCCCCTGGCTGGCGCGGCGCTGCGCGGCGCTGCGCGGCGGGGCACGGCCGGGACGGCACGGTACGGGCGGCTGGGGCAGGGGGGTCGGCCGACGTCAACCTCCCCTCTGGCCTCTGGCTGCCTCTGGCCGCCTCTGGCCGCCACGCCACCGCCGCTGCGCGGCGGAGCGCGGGACGCGGGACGCGGAGCGGAGCGGGCAGACATGTATCGTCGTGCTGCCACCGCCGCCTCCTCCGCCGTTTCCACGCCCCGCTGCGTTTTGCCATTTGCTCATGGCTCATTCATGGCCGTTAATAAATAAGGGGATGCGTTAAATCTAAACCAATGGCGAGTGGAGCCACGCTGACGTCATACGGTCTGTCCGTATTGATCGCCCGGCCCCGCCAGCCCCGCAGGGCTCCGTCGTGCCCCACGCGGCCCCGCGCGCCCGGCTCAATGGGGCTATGGCTGCGCACGGCCCCTCCCCCGCCCTTCGGGTCGCACCCCCTCCCTGCGCCCTTCCCGGCCCTGCCCGGCCCTTCCCCGCGCGGCCCTTCCCCGCGCGGCCCGTACAAGAACCAAGGGCTCGTACAGCCCAGCGCGCCAGCGGGCCCATGTCGCCTACAGCTGGTCCAGCCTACTGCCACTAGGCGCGATGCGCGCGGGCCTGGGCGGCCTGGGCCATTGCCTGGGCCATCGCCTGGGCCTGAGGCGGGGAGCAGGCCAGCAGGCCTCGGCACGGGCTGTGCACTGGCAGTGGCACCTGGTACCCGGGGGCACCTGTGGTCGGGCTGCAAGCGGCAGGGCAGCGCGGCACGGCAGCACGCGGCAGCACGGCCCCGTCCCGTCCCACTGTGCGGCCAGCCCTGTCCCTGTGACGGCCGCCAGGGCCGCCAGGGCCGCCAGGGCTGAGGGCAGGCTGCCCGCGCGCCCTGTGCCCCCAATGCCCCCGATGGCCCACCAGTTCTGCCCTTCCCCCACATGGAGGGCGAGGCGGGCGAGGCGGGCGAGGCGGGCGGCGGGGAGGACTCCTCCTGCCAGTCTCGGGGGTGGGAGCGAGACGGGGCGCTGCAAGCCGTCTCCGTCGCACTCATTACTGCGGCCTGTGAGCATGTCGGGATGCCGCCCTGTCGGCCCGGCCAACCCGTTGCTTCTAGATCGGACGGGGAATGACCGCCCTGCCCGCCTGGCTGCGGGCCTGGCCGCGGCTCCAGGGGAGGCTTGTAACGCGCTTCGCGCTTCGGAACGCCGGGTAGCTACGCTGTCCCGCGGACAGGGGTGCTTAGCGGGACGGCCTACCCTCACTTCGTAAGGGGTCATGGCACCCGTCATGCCATTCCGTTGCGCGCTGTCTCTCTTGCACTCGTAGAGTGCGCCACAGGGGTGCGAGAGGGACAGAATGAGGAGTGCGAGCAGTGGAACCGGACGCAGTCCAGTCCAGTCGGTGGAACGACATCGAACTCCACAACTTCGGCATCCGCAGGCGTCCGTGTGGGAACGTATGGGAAGCGACGGGCCTTCGTGACACTTAGCGCGAGACTTGGCGTGCAGTGCAGTGCACACACCACACACGCCAGCGGCCAGCGGGCTGGGAAGGGAAGAGTGTGGAAAACGACGCTCATATTAAATGGATCCTGTTTGCGGTCAGTCTGGGCCTTCCCCCACCCCCACCCCGCCTCCCTTTTCCCGAGTGGTGGCGTGTTTGACTCGAAGGGAGCGCGTGTCTGTGTCGGTGTCTCGGTCGGGGCAAGAGCATCAAACGTCTGTGAACATGTGGCCATGTCTTTATTGATCACTTAAGTTACGTAGCGGCTCAAACGCTCCGACAAAATTGTGTTGCCAACAACCAGTCAATTACAAGTTTGTGCCTACACCACACTCCTAAAGACAACACTACAGACATTCAAAACTACAGATATTTTCTATTATGTTTGACACAAAGAAGCAAAGGCAAGCAGTAGTTTAACAGACAAAGATGAGGAGAGATGAAAATAATTCTACTGAAAAATAAGAACTGAATCAAACAGGTAAACTGCTATCCCTAATAATCATGTATGGCAAATTAATCATATACACTAGAACAACAACTCTCTAATCTAAAGGCATAAGGAAGCTTGCTTCAGGGTGATACACACAAAACATCACAATTGACCTTTCCACGTTAATCCATTAACACCACATTCATATTTTGCCAACCAGCACACCATGACAACTACATATTATTGGGGGGAATTTCTTGAAACTTGTTCCAATGGGGGTAGTTATACAATTATGGTGACCCATAGTGTAGAGAACAGTGTTGCAAGCTTAGCGCAGAAAGGTGTTACTGGAGTCACTTGCGCACCTTAAGGATTTAAAATTATTTGACCTTAGTCTCAAAGAACAGCAATGCACAATTATTGACACATATTGCGCAAAGTTGGCCACTATAATATCAAATTCAGAGTGAAACTCAATAACAAGGACTCACAGCCATATCAGAAACCAGTTTATCAATGTACATGCTTATATGTACACCAACACACACACCAAAAAAAAAAAAAGCATTGAATTGATTCATTTCAAAAGACATGATTTGATAGTTTAAAGTTTGATAGACAAATCAAATTTGATATCAGCACAAAAATTGAAATTCTGGTATTATGTACAAAACGTATAAAAGTATATCTATACACAACAGTAAAACTAATGACTATGCAAACCGGACACAGTCTCATAGAAAGATATAAAATGATCAACATCAAAAACCTTTAAACACAGAATATCATTTCTCAGTTAATTTGAGAATAAATATATAAAGCAAAGGTTAAGTCTTGTAAAGAAACACCACTTACACAATTAGGCACTTCCTCCCTAAATTTTGAGGAAAACTATGCAGAAAAACTGTTCTGCAATAAGACAGAAAAGAGAAAAACCTGTCACATCAAACTAAAAAGCAAAAAAATGTTTGAGAAGCAGTTGGAATGATATTGCAAGTGTGATTCAGAGTGAAAAAGTGGCACATTTTGTGAACAGATGTTGTATGAACTTATACCTTGAGAATACAAAATAAATATTGCACTCCTGATGATCTTACTTCCACATTAACATAGTTAATTTTAATTAAGATTTATCTCATTTTGACCGAAGTACTACACGCCTCACAAAACGCAATATGAACTCAGCTTTGCCCCGAAAGAATTACAGATGGGAAGGAAAGATTGAGTAGAAAGGCACGATGTTTAAAAAGTACATATTACCGTTCATGGTTTGATACTTATAAATTGAATAACTTTACCAGAGATTACACAATATAAACTATTGATGGAAAAGTAAGAATCACTAAGGCAAGACAAGACTAGGCGCCAATTCACTGTCCTCAACAATGCACAAATGGTAACAATTATTTATTCTTCAGAGATAATTTATAGGAACCATTATCTTACTGAAAAATTCATTAGAAAACAACATACCTCACCCCTTCTAGCACACAGAGACAAAAAAAGGTTTCAAAACAATAGGAGGCAGAAGGAGGGAAAGATAGACAGCTACTGTTAAAATAGTACGGGATCCTAAAGACAATCAAATCAATCATATTTTGTTCAGTTGGTCAATTATTGAGAAATCTACCAACCTACATTAGTTTTTAAGGTGTTAAAGTTATGATAGAGCCAAAGGTATACTTTACAGTACTGATCTAGGGACCACCAATATTTGATGTACCATGCTTCTATAAATAATCATGTTTTGGTTTGTTTGTTTGTTTTTTCCAATAAAATAAGTACTTATCAGGGACACTGTGATCACACCTTTTTTGCTCCCAACTTCATTGGCCCAGTAGAGGTGCGACTAGCTCGACGTAGTTCCAGCTCCTTTTGTCTCTGCAGTTTCTTTTCCTCTCTCCTCCTGCGAGCCTCATCGTGGCGCCCTGCTGTGATTAAAATAACAAAATTTATTTAAATCAAACTACTTTATGGCATACTGGCATAAGTTAGAAGGATAAGAGTGCGTGCACCTACCAGCGGCAGTCGCTCCAGCCTCCATCGGCTCCCACTCGGTGTCCTCCCAGCCGCCCCCACCACTGCCGCTTCCGCCAGTGCCCGCCCCTGTGCTGCCACCGCTGCGACTCCCTGGGCTACGAGCATCAGCCTACATCATCCAAAATAAAGAAAATTTTAAAAAAATAAAAAGTTTTATCTAGTAATTATCTTATGAAAGTTAAATCATGAGTTCAATTTATGTGTATGAGAGACTGGTATTTCCAATGGAAACTTAGACAAAACCATGGTTAAGTAAAGAAGGTAGTTTACAGGAAGATATGTATCCACAAGAGGGATGGAAACGGAATTCTTAAAGGATAGGAAGTAATTTTACTTACATGGCCTTTATTAGATTCGATGGAGAGGTCATCTTTGTCCTTGTTGGTCTCAGCCCAAGTACTGTACATGCTTGCAGAGCGAGGCATCTCATCTGACCCAGGGAAGTCAGGGGCTCCCCAGCCTTCTACAGCCTCTGGGCTATTCAGCTCCTTAGAAAAATAAAGGAGAAGGGTTTCCACATTAGAAGATTATAGAAAAATGAAAAACTATTTATTTGGAGAACTAAGTCTTACAGGAGTTTCGTCCAAGCTGCCCCACTCCTCTGTGTCCCAGCCATCATTAGACCGTGTGCTCAAACTGGTCCCCGAGGCACCAGGTGTTCCAGGTCCAGGACTACGAGGGTGTTCTGTAGAGCTCTGAGCAGCTAAGGTCTATCCAAAAACGCGAAATTTAAAAGAAAATCCATTAAAATTTAGCAATCCTAACTGAAGTGTTCAGGGCAAGAGTTTTTAAATACAATCAAACTTTGTTCAAATCAACTTACATCCATATCTCCCCAATTTTCAGTGTCCCATGTCTCATCATAGTCTGAGACTGACCGATTACTGAACTCCTGCTCTTGCTCCAAGGATGTCATACTGGTTACACTTGAGGTGGTTGTTGATATGCTGCTGCTTGAGGGTTGTTCTGAAACATTTAAAAAAATAATCATCAGATAACAAATTTAGCACCAGATATTGGCTGAGGTCAAGTTGATATATTTTTACCTAAGGACCCCGGCTTGCTGAGCATTCTGCTATGCTGAGAGACAACTGAAGATTTAACGGTGTCAGACTGACTTCGGTAGAATTTGGCAGTCACAGCTGTAACTGCCCATCCTGCCCAGGTAGCAGCTGCATTAGATAAACTAGGTGTAGCTGTGTGTACGTCAGCCTCTGTGTAAGGAAGGAACACATAGGTAATAATTAAAGGCAGAATTGAAGTAAAGTAAAGAGCAAATGAATCACAATCAGCTTACCCATAGATTCTCGCAAAGTAGGATCTTCGGACACCTTTTCTAGCTTCCCGAGAAATCCCTTCAGAGTTCTGAAAAGGGCCTCTCGAACAGACTTGTCTGGATCCAGTGAAAGCGGACACAACGCAGGTAATATGCGGTTTGCTACTTCTGATAATAAAAAGTATTGCTGCGTTGCAGCCAAAGCTAGGACTCCTGTAATAGGAATTAACAATTGTTTAGAACTGTTTTTTTAGACTTGTAACAAAACAACATGGAGAAGGCAGATTTACCTGCTTGTCTTGTGGGTGGAAAAGTATCTCTCATAGCTCGGATGAAAGCAGAAACAAGAACACGCTGTCTAATTTGAGGGTGAAGATGCTGTGCAATTTTTCCCAAACACACAGTTGTGTTTGTCCGGATTCCAGCCTGTTTGAAGAAAAGAGGTAAGTAAAATAAATAAAACAATCCAATGTTCAAAATAGAATTTAGGAAATCGTAACATACAGAATAAACATGCATGCCTGAAAAAGGTGAATAACTATAAGAACTTACTTGATCATCTCTAGCTTGTAAACGAGCAAAGTGACGCAGTACTTCCACATTTAGATTATTATAATTTAGCTTTGGTGCAAGGTGAATTATTGACTTGACTGTTTGTTCCCTTATAGTTGGATTGGTATCCATGAACCCATGGGCGATTTGAGGAAATATCTGATCATTCACTGTTGCTGACTGCAAATGACCTACACAGAAAAAAATCCACAGAGGTGAAATTTCATGAGTTCTGGAAAAACCTACTAGACAATTCTTTTTTGTCCACCACTTTGTCTTACCAATGAAGAGTTCTAATTGCTGGAGCAGCCTTACTCTTGTGGCTCTGTCATTAGAAGCAAAAAGCTTTACAACGCAAGGGACAATTTGTTTTTGGTACTCAGCTTCTTCAAGAAGAGATCCAAGCTGAGAAATTGAAAAGCAAAATTAAAACTAAGGAAATCATGATGGAGGCATTATTACAACCACTACTTTCATTAAACACAAAGAGTTAATGTTAAACTATTTATCTCTAACCTTGAACATTGGAGCCAGAATTGATGATCCAGCATCTCCATAGACAAAGGCATTAATCAGTTGTGGCAGAATTTTATTCACACAAACATCCTTTGGGAAGTTGTCCAACAATGGAGTTAAGGAACCAAAAAATTTGCTCTTCTCACTTTTGTCTTTGATTTGAATTTCTTCTAGGAACAAAAGTGTGTCAACCAGGTCATTCTTGAAATACCCATTTGTTTTACGGCATCGGGTTATCACATCAGCAGGATTGGGTCGAGATCCTGGATTAGCTCCAACTAACTCACAATAAACTCCACTAAGTTGCTGAGGAACCTGGAGCACCCAACAAGTCAAAATGTTAAGCAATGCGTACAAAGTATATATCTATTAACTTTGGTACAGGAGACACAAAGGCAAACCTTTTCTAATTGCTGGAGGCTAGACTGAACAGGGAGTGGGCCATTAAAAACTTCCCAAATAAGGCAACCTAAGCCCCACATGTCTGTTGAGCTGAGAAATGGGAGGAAAATCGAATCAGGTGATACAAGTTTATGAGCACAAGTTACACAATGGTATGATTTGAAGGTTGACTGATGATCAAGCTCACCATTTTGTTATCAGTCTTTGTCGACCAGGATCGGCTTTCTCAGGGGGGTCATACTTATCTAGAGCTGGCAGTATTTTGATAGGTAGGCCAATTCCATCTGTGGTTCCAGCCACATATTCCACTCCACCCAGCTTCCACTCCCCAGCAGCATTCACAAACACTGACCACATACACACATTATTATGGCGTAAGTTTCCATCATTGTTAAGAAAGCTTAAAGCTCGCTGAAAGACAAAAGAGAAAATCAGAAGTTGTGATTTGATTTTTCTTTAATGATAAAAACATAGAAGTGTACCATCATTTATCATTACTAACAGTTATTTGAAATATTCCCCATGCAAGGTAGAGATCTCTTTGCTGATAAGCAAGTTGCCTGTCCTTTTCATCTGTTTCTAAAAGCTTATCCAGTCGTGTTTGAAGAGGGATCACAAATTCAGTCGCCATAAAAATCATTTTGTCGGTCTGTGGGACAAAAAAAAGGATAAACATTAACAAAGCAAAACAATAAAAGGTTTTTCTTTTTTCTTCCCAGAGGAATGTTGATAAATATATTGTGCTTACCTCTAGGCTATCCAAATATGTCAATACGCTAGGATGACGGAGGGTTTTCAATCGCTTTACTGATGAACGAGCTACATCAAGCTGTGTTTCACTGCCATTTTTAATATCAAACATAAACACAGAAACTTCCTCTTCAGCCCCCTAAAAGTGGAGATAAAACTGAATAAATATAAAATAAAACAGAACTAAAGCTTTCGTCAATCACACCTGTTTCAATTCAGTTGTAGCAAATAGCCAAACATAATCATAACATGAAGTGAAAATATTGGAAAAGGGCTAAATTTAAAAGACTTGCCTTTTTCTTGGCTCTATGTAACTTCCAAATACTCTTATCCCCAAGTCCTGGGACGGGTTCTCCAATCTCATAGTTGAAGTCTTTTGAAGGATCCCTTGAGAAGAAAGACCACATCTTCCCTCACAGGCTTCAGCAGGCCACAATATTGACGCCACACGCGGCACAAAACTTCGAAATATTCAGGAAAATTAATTACTCAGCGAGTAATGCCAACCCTAGGGAAATAGACAGGAAAAGTTAAAGTTTTCATTACATCGACACTTGCTATCACCCATCAACAACGTACGGTTGCATTCGTCAACCAAACCCAACCAAAACTCCGTCGCCCCCCCCCCCCTTCTCCTTCTTCCCCCCCCCCCCCCAATCGGCAACATGAGAAATTCATCTCCAAGTGGAAAGAATGGAAAGGAAAGGGGAATGCAGCTACAGCTGCAAAAAGCTGCAGCTGTCTCCAGCTGCCTAGTTACCGTCTCCATTCGTAGATATCCATCGTTCAGGAGCTCCCGAAATTTCCCCGGGTGGCCGGAATGACTTCTTATCTCTGTTGCTGCTGTGATTGTCTCTCTGCCAAACAGCGGAAGAAGAGCAGAGCCAAAGCCAAGGCAGCGAAGAGTCTGGCAAACGGCAGGGTTTGCGGAGCCAAGGTGGAGAGCCTATGTGCAGTACACCCGTCGGGTTATTTGCCCCACGAGGAGAGGCGGAGGAAACCATGACGTTGTCGTCTCGTTGTCAAAGTGACATTAAGAGAACGGGTGGCTGTTTATTTTCTGTCCAGATGAGTTGTCTAAATATCTCCGATTCGATCATTGAGGAAGAATGCTTCATCAACTGCTCTGCTCCTCGTAAAGCATCGGCAGGATGAGTATTTGTCTTTATTTATACAGTTCAGAGTGCTCGGTAACAAATGACTTTCACCGTTTTTCAGTGGTTAATTGGTAAAATTATTTATTTATGTGGATTACGAGGTGATAATGAACCATTCTATCTATTATCAAGTGTCACTTTCAAAAGTTCAGCAAGGATTACTTTGATTATAGATAGGTTAAGTCGGGTAAGGACATGGTGAAGCTTTTTGTTGTTTCCTTTCAATTGAGCACAAACCTATTCAATAAATGCTACTGAGCAAGCTTGTGGATATAAATCTAAATAATCTATTCTAGATGTCACAGCACATTTTGTGGGGAGGTTGCTCTGCACCCACCTGTTTAGCCGTTTGAAAATGTGCTGAAGCTTTGAGAAAGCTCAAGTACGGTATTCCTGATTTTGTTTTTATGGATACGTTTGTTATTTTCATAGTTAGTAATGCATTGGTTTTACATTTATTTAAATCAATGGCAAGGCATGAGGCTGTCAATAGTTCTGTGCTACTAGAGCCTTCACTAATTTGATGTGTGTTACTTCCCGAGCATTTGCTTTCACACAAATGTTCATTAAATACTTATACTTAAGTGAGAAGGACGGGTAAAGGACGACAGTGAGTAGAGATTGACTTGGTTTATTTGGGAAACTGGGAGACTCACACAGCTCGAGACTAGGCTACCGACTGTTGGCTGGCTCTGAGGAGCGATCCAGTTTATAGTTTGGGCAACAGTGACACCTTGCTAGGTGGGTGCTTTCAGAAAGCGAGACAATAGTGGAGCCTTGGCCGGAGTCCATAACAGAGTCAGGAAGAAGAATAGAAATCAGAACTGACACTTGTTGCTTTTCACTTTGTACAGTAAATCGCTTCAATATTGGAATTGTAGTCAATATATTGAAGTACCGCCCACCCCTAACTCACCAATGGGCTTTGGATAATTTACCATAAACATGGTACATTACATATTATTCCAAAAAGTGCTGGTTCTTTCAAATAATTTCTGCTTACCCATATGTGGAATTTTAAATCAATTCATCTTTTAATTATATTTTTGGGCGAGTTTCAGTTATTTAGTCATTCATGCTTTCAAGTCATTACCTTCTTTTACTGACCCCATTCTTGATTCCTGATGGCATTTTCCAAACATCATGGTACCCGCTCAGCAGTAGCCATATCACTGCACTGTTCCTGAGTTTCCTTTTTTTTTTCAAATTTTATTTTAAGCAGTGTAAAATTGCTGGGCTGTACCGCTAGGAAGTGGGCGGGGGAGGCGGGGGGGGGGATGAAGGGGAGGGGAAGAGGGCGGGGGAGGGGGGTTTGTTTGCCTTTGTTGCAGAGGAAGGGACAACACATCTGGAGGAGGCATGCCCGGCCTGCAAGACCCTGCACTGCCCAGAGGACGCCCGTCGCTAACAGCCGGCTTCCTTCCGAATTTTTGTCATCTTGAACTGGATTATCTATTTTTGGTATGTATCTGTGTTAAGTGTAGTTTTCTGTCTTTCCTATAATCTCAAAATCATTGAAAATAGGACTTAAGTTCGGAGCTGGTGGGTGAGAGGGAATACCCAAGCTATCTTTAAAATCTTGATTTTTTCATGTGTTAGCTATCCTACAGTGAGTTTTCTCTCATTTTCCAACAATACGATTGCATAGATTGCCTTGAAAATAATTACTTCTAGAAAAAATGATAGGAAAAAGTAGTTTTGATCCTTTTGCGGGTCAGCCAAACCATAACCTCTCTGCTCCCTGAAGTTTTTATGAATTTTAGAAGTTAATCTTATCTTTTTAGTACCTCTAGTTACATTAAATTTCAGTTTGATGCTAGTCTTGATTTCTGATGTGTCTATAACTTTACGTGAGAAGTTTCTTTGCCTTTGTTGATGCTGCATTCTTAAGTCTTGTGTTCTCTTGTTTTCAGTGTTTCATCATTCCAGTTGTTTTGAAAACAGCTATCATAATTTAGTGTTCCTGAACGGCCTCATGTTAATTGTTTCACCACCATGAATTTGGACCAAGGAAATGCAAATGAAACTCCAGAAGAAGATTCGAATGCAGATCTGTCTGATGATTTTGAGCCAAACCCAAGGAAAGCTGTGGAAAATGGTTTGTCTTAAGCAGAAATCTGTGTTTATCACACAAACATACCTTGATTTTTGAACAGTCCTTAATCATTCTGTTCTTCGTGAATTGCAGGTTTGAGGGAAACTGTGTGTAAAAACACTGCAGGCAAAAGTGATACTAATTTCCTCTGCTCATATTGTGATAAGATTTTTAAAACACCAAAAACTTTGAAGAGTCACAAATTAATATGCTCCAAAAATCCCTCTGTTGTTAAGTACAATATTTCCTGCGAGTCCTGTGGAACTTGTTTTGCAAGAAAAGACAACTTGGTGAGGCACAAGAAACATTGTGACCAGCAAGCAAGTGGTAGCCACTCCAGAACACGGCACAGGTGCTTATTTTCCAAATGTGGTGCAAAATTCTGGCATAAAACTGCCCTTGTCAACCATCTTAAGGTAGAGTAATGTCCAGGAAGTGCCTATTTGCTTTCTTAATGGTCAATATAATAATATTAATTATATTGCTTTCTTTGATTACAGGCCTCACACGAAAAGGCTTCAAAAATACTTCCTGTACAAAACCTCAAGTTTACCAATTGGGAGGAATTTCTAAACTGGAAAGATGAAGAAGAAAGACGGCAGCTCTCTTATTTTTCGGAGCAGTTTGGTGAGAAGGATGGTCGCACCTATTTCTACTGCCAGCAGGATGGCCCTGTAAAACGCTCAAAGCCATTGAAGGTAGGAGAACATGACCCAGAAGAGTTAGAAGATGAGAGTGACAGTAATCATGCCTCTGTGTCAAGTTCAAAACCTCCAAAGAAAAAATCTGCAAACAAAAAGGGCAAAATGAAAATTGGGTTTATGTGTATTGCCATGATGAAAGTGTTAAAGTCAGATCAAAGTGTGGAGGTTGAGTACCATCCCACTCATAATCATGAGCTGTGTGTTGCCGACCTTAAACATCAACCGATCAGTAATGCTACAAATTCTTATATTAAAAAACTATTGCTTGTTGGGGCTTCACCCAGAAAAATTTTGAAAAATTTGAAAGGAGACAAATTTAGTAGGGTCAATAGATCAACTGTGCAGCAGCTCACAAGAAATGATTTTATTCAAGTCAAAACTTTGCGGGAACGGAAGAGGCAAATGGCATCAGCTGGAAATCTGGCCTCCGATGATGCGACAGCAGTCCACATGCATGTTGAGTTGCTGCAAGCTGAGGATTACTCACCAGTCTTGATATATAAGCCATTCGGGCATGAACTTGTGTATGGACCAGATTCGGCCAAAAGTCTGCCAAATGATATTTTCATGCTGGGGTTGCAAACCAAAGAACAGGCTGAAATGATGAAGTTGGCTAGTGAAACCATATTTATTGTTGATGCCACTCATGACATGGATCAGTATTCATGTCAGCTGTTAAATGTAATGGGGGTTGATGAGCTTAACAGAGGATATCCTCTTGCTCATTGCATCAGCAGTAAAATGGATGAGCACACGCTCAAATATTTTTTTGAGGCTATAAAAGCAAAAATCCCTGACTTGAATGTCAATTGTGTCATAACAGATGATGACCCTGCACTCATAAATTCCATGAATTGTGGTTTCAATGAGCTGCTGAGACATATTTTATGTGACTGGCACTTTAAGCGCACTATGCAAAAAGAATTGCACAAGAAAGTTAAAGATTCTGAGCTGGAAGATTTTATGTTCAAAGAACTTTGCGTCATTATTGACTGTCTTTTGGAAAGTGAATTCAATCTAGTTATGCAGTATTTCATTGAAAAATATCTGTCCAACAAGAAAACAAAGGCATTCATAGATTATTTTAAACAATACTGTATTCATAAAAGAGCCAAATGGGCTAAGTGTTTCAGGAGATTCCCCCATGGCAATGTAGAAACAACCATGTTTGTTGAAGCATTTCACAATATCCTCAAAACAGTTTATTTGAAAAGGAAGCCAAATAAAAGAATTGATAGCCTGTTAAAGTTGCTTCTGGATGTAGAGGAAGATTATTATTGTAGAAGACAGACTACAATTTGCACTGTTGCCCCACGAGAGCAATATATGCAGGACATCAGTGCACGCCATACAAGAGGAATTGAGATTTCTTCTGACCAGGTTCAGGAGTTTGACGAAAATGGCTCTAAGTTCTGGCAAATTAAGTCTCAATCTCATCCAAATGAGGTCTACAAAGTATTTAAAATATCATCAGTATGCACTCAGCCACATCATTGCTATTTTGAATGCCATGCAACTGAGTGTCATCAAAATCTGTGTGCTCATATGTACATGTGTACTTGCCCTGATGATTTTGTACTGTGTAAGCATATTCACAGAGTACATTCTGCTTTTGGTGAGGCCACTCAGAATGAAGAGAAAATGTCTGGAGAAGTTGACTTTTACTACAACCCTATGGATGATGATGCAACCACAGATGAAATACAGCAAAGAGCAGACCAAAGGAGAGAGAAGGAAGAACAAGAGATGGTTCAGTTAATATCACAACTCTCCAATTTTGTAAAACATGACGCAGTTAAAAATTTATTGTACCCTCACTTAAAGGCTGTTCTGAAGGGTGCTTTGGCCCAGTGTGAAACTGTTGTGAATGGTGTCAACAGTGTGGACATGCCCTTGCAACAAATGGCTCCTACTGTGCAAATTACATCGTGCGAGAAACTAAAACGTCAAATACGACCATTTATGAAAAAGAAAATGTCGAAAAAGGAGATTCAACGTAAACGGAGCAAAGTACCCAAGTTACTTGAAAAAATTGAAATAAAGAAAAATCTTCTTGATGCCATTGATAAACAGAGTGTGGAAGTTGATGTTTCTCATAATGTTCAACGGTATGGTTCTGTTCCCACATGTGACGATGATCCACAGTGTGTTGAAGTTCCTACTTGTGAAAATGATGAGCCACAGTGTTTCGAAGTATGTACTTCCAGTTCAAGCCAAAGACCAAAAGTGAAGTTTGTTGCTCGTCCCATATTTGTTCCTGGGAAATCATCTAAATTAGTGGATAAACAGACTCCAATTGTTTGAAATGTGCTACCTCATCTACCTTTGTATTTTTTCTTTTTCTGGCTGATAGTTAACTTTGTTTGGTTGTATTGTACTTCCAGTTGTAATGTAGATTCTCTTGTATTAACAAATTTTGCTTTTCCAAATAGTTTTGACAAAGAAGTGAGAGTTGATGCGCATAGTTTTTCTGGTGCATCACTGATGCTTGTATTTTAATGTAATTATTGTTGTGTCCATTGTAAAAAATCCACAATGGACAATGTGTTATTTGTGAAATCACTAGTGTAACTTCTAGTTCAGAGTTCAAACTCAGACTGTCTGTCCTCATGTGTAGTTGTCTCCTGTTGAGTTTGTGGCTTTCTCTTTTGTGATCTAGTTTATTTACACATTAAAGATAGTTACTTCGTTTAGTCATTAGTGTGTACCCATTTTTAGTTAATTTTCTCTCGAGATATTTTATGAATTAATGATTTGTGTATTATACTGTTTAAATGTGATAATGATTTATGATGTTTCCTGTACTTTGTAATGATTAGAGTAAGAAGTTAAATTATGTATGAGAGACTCTTTTAATGGTCAGTTATTTATAGTTAATTAAGAGAATAAATAATAATTCACTGAACTTCCATTATTTGTGTTGATTTCTTCAATTTACCTACCAGTGTCTTTTATAAATAAATTACTAAAATAAACACGAACCCGTTTTCTTAATCAACCACAGTAATAATCGACATAGTTTTCAAAAAAAAAAAAAAAAAAAAAAACGACGGTTATAAGATGGAATGGACTCGCTGGATGTGGAGAATCCTCATAGTGCCCCATGGTTTTCTTCAAAGGGCCCTCGGGCTGAAGGCGTTCTGCGCATACGCTGGCGGGGACCTGGCTGCACATAGCGATATTCCCCCCACCCCAGAGAGCTCCGCAAACCCTGCCATTTGCCAGACTCGGCAGCGAAAAGGAAAGGCAGGAAGGCAGTGGCGGCCGCGCGAGCCAGAGACATGTAAAATGGCGGTGCAAGTGGACGGAGGTTCCTCCGACGGGGGCGATCCAGACGAGTTAAAAACGCAATTTTACACCAGAGAAGGGACCTACCGCTTAATGACGCTGTCGGAATACTCCAGGCCCAACAGGGTTGGATACACCAACACGCAGGGCAATGCCTCGGTCCGAGTGTCGTTTGTAAATTTGCCGGACCCCTCTGGCAATGGAGACAGAATCTGCTTTAACTTCGGCAGAGAACTCTATGTTTATGTTTATAAAGGAGTGAAGAAGGTAGGCGGAAATTGAACATCTTTGATTGCACTGCCTCTGTTCAGTTTGTTCTCATGTTTGTTTTGCTACCATGGAAATAGGGAAGTTCGGCACACTTCAGACGAATTAAGTGGGAGGGAACTTAACCTAAAACCAACAATTTTCATTATTGGATTAATTTACCCATCTTACGTTTTCCGTTTTATTCATACCGTGGCTATTTCGTATAGACATCAAATTTGTACGCTTTGATTCCTGTGTAGGTTTTAACTCTCAAAATGTCCCTGTTCTCTGACTACTTCCATTTAGTTGTCATCTTATTTCATTCATTCACTTTCCCCAATCCCTGATGTATTGTCATTATTCACATCTCTGCTCATAACAGCATGTGTTTTAGTGAACAAACATAGAGTTTTTAATAAAATTACTATGTTATTACAACTATACTGATACTTGAGAAAAATTTCTTTGATAGTTCTCTTTTTAAAATTTAATCCAGGTGTCTCATTTTTCTGTTGTAGGCTGCTGATCTTACTAAACCTGTTGACAAGAAGATGTACAAAGGCACCAATCCAACATGTCATGATTTTAATTCTATAACACCGACTGCTGACACAGTATCGCTACTCGTCGGGTTTTCAACTGGCCAAATTCAATTAATAGACCCAATTAAAAAGGAGCTCAGTAAATTATATAATGAAGAGGTAAGTGTAGTCCACATCTGAATATTGAAGTCATTACCCATTTTACTGTTATTAATCATCTCTTGTGCACCTTGCAGAGGCTTATTGATAAGACCAAAGTTACCTGCATAAAATGGGTCCCAGGATCCACAAATCTATTTCTGGCGTCACACAGTAGTGGGCAGTTGTATTTGTACAACGAAGAGCTTCCCTGTGGAACGACTGCTCCCAATTATCAGCCTTTTAAACAAGGAGATGGCTACGCCATTCACACTTGCAAGACTAAGAGCACTCGCAATCCTTTATACCGATGGGTATTGGGGAGTGAAGGTTGTTGCATAAATGAGCTTGCTTTTTCTCCTTGTGGTGTTCATTTAGCAGTGGTCAGTCAAGATGGTTTTCTGCGTGTCTTTCATTACGATACTATGGAGCTTGCTGGTGTAGCCCGAAGCTACTTTGGTGGATTTTTGTGTGTGTGTTGGTCGCCCGACGGGAGATATGTGGTTGTTGGTGGAGAAGATGATTTAGTCACTGTTTGGAGTTTCCATGAAAGAAGAGTGGTTGCTCGGGGGCAAGGACACAGAAGCTGGGTTAGTGTAGTTGCATTTGATCCTTTTACATCTTCCTGCAGTGGAGTGAAAGTGAATGGTGACAGTGGTAGCAATTCTAAAGTGGACTTCAGTGATTCTGACAGTGAATCTAGTTTCGATCCTAAAAGGACTCCTACAAGTTCTGACATGACTTGTTATCGCCTTGGGTCTGTTGGACAAGATACTCAATTATGTTTGTGGGACATAACAGAAGATGTCTTGCGACAACCTATGTGCCCTCGAACAAGAACAACAAGCACAGCTGGTTTTGGCAGTATAAGTGGATCAAAAACTGTAAATGGCAATGGAGCCCCATCAGGTGGGTCTGTGAGCAGTGCTACTGGACCTGTGGTGGAAAATAGTAAAAGTAACAATGTGGCCAATTCAGTTGGATCCAAAGACAAAGCTGCGGATCATTCTTCATCCAACTCGCATCATGGTGGATCAACCTTAACCCAAAAACTTGCTGCTTTTGGTTTCGGGGATCGCAAAGATGGTCACAAGAGAAATTTCAGTCTTGGACCTAAATCTGGATCCTCTTCAGACAAGGGCCATAACTCGACATCAGTAAAATCAAATCATAGTGCTGCTGACGACCCAATGAGATTGATAGGCACCAGCACCTGCCCCAGATTCGATGAATGCCCTTTGTTAGAGCCTCTCATTTGTAAGAAAATTGCTCATGAGAGATTGACAGCTCTTGTATTCAGGGAGGACTGTTTTGTAACCGCCTGTCAGGATGGTTATGTGTATACATGGGCCCGGCCTGGTAAACTGGTAAGTGGAACTACAGTTAAATCAGCTCAAAATCTGATTAATTAATTGAAATGTCTGATTTTGGAGGATGGTCGTTCTGTGATTTCTTACAAGTTTGATTTTTGTTTGCAGTGCGGTGGGGGACCAGCCGCGGCCAATCGGCCGTCGAGCCCAGGCCGCGTGTCTCTGGGGACGACCGGGGCCGGCCTGGGCCTCGCCCCTTGCGGGCCTTGTGCCAACGGCGACGGCGACGGCGTTTCGCCGGTGGTGGCGGCAGCGGCAGCCAGGAGCTCTCCAGACTTACCAGATTCTAAAACCTTACTTCTATAGTTAAGCATTAAGTATTTTGCAGCCTTATCCAGCGCCCAAGCAGAATCAGCCATATCTTTCAAAGTGAAACCCCATTTCTTACATTTTGCTCAAGAATCCTGCCGCCCCTGGAGGCAGAAATCATTTTTAGCTAGATGTTTTGCTTTTTCTGCTGATGGGCATGCTGTGCTGCTACTTCTTAAATTTTATTGATAGCAGAACAATTGTACCTTACTAGGAGAGCTCATTGTACACAATTTTTTTGTGGTTCTGCCCACTTAATTAATTACGATAGGGTAAGAGGTAGTCCCTATCTTCCACACTTAAATATAATTAAATCAAAAACAAAACTTAAAAAAATAAATACAATGTGCTCCTAATAGTGTAAGGAGTGAAGGCTGTGCCTAGTTACTAAGGGGAGTGTCCATCCCCTATCCAAAGATGAAACAACCTCTAAAGAGGTGGGATGTTGTTAAGTTAATCATATTTGTGCTTGCTTTGAATCATGTTGCAGTTTATGATGCAAATGTGTTCTTTCTCTGGTCTACTTACTTTTAGTGGTCAACATTGAATGATTGACTTATTCTGTGTTATAGGTAATATTTTGATTATTAAATGGGGATTTGTTACTTCTGCTCTGTCCTCAAATTCTAACTGTCAAAGGTCTTAATTTATGACAGATGTTTTCATATTTGCAATTGCTTGTTTTCTAATGTTACTGTTTCCTTTTTTTTTTTTTTTTTTTCTTTTCCATTAGAACAAGTCAACAGTCCTTGATATGCGTTTTAAATTTTCTCTGAAGCTAGTTTGTCTTGTCTTCTTCTTGAACCAATGGTTTGTTTATTTGTTCAAAATTGGATCACAAAACTTCTTATTGGCGAAGACTAACCCTCTCTCATGGCCGGAGAGTTTGTTTCTAGTATTTTAGGTTTAGGCCTCAAAAAGTATTTGGTCCGTTTTCTTTTACTGCATTTTTAGAAATCAGTAGATAAAATAGTGTTAGTAACACCTCTAGATTCTTGAATTAACATTCAAAAAATACTTGAGCATGCTTTTCTCTACCCAAATGGACATTTTCAAGAATTTCGATAATCTTGAAAGAACACTTCTTTGTAGCTACATCAAATCGCCTGGATTCAGCATGCAATTTAATTCTGTATTTTACCGTGATTCTTTTTTGTATCTCCTAAACCTTCCAAAGATTTGATTTGTTTCTTGTACCTCGAAGTCATGAAGCCATTTTTGCTCCTTTCCTTTATTCTGCCTAAAAGGAAGTTGTCTAAATTGTACTTTTATTACTGTAATATTTGTGTCATGCCGTTAGGCAACTTTAGATCTTAAGTAATGGCCTCAACCTAGAGCACTCCTTTTATCCTCCTCAAGTCCTTGATCAATTTTATTTTAGGACTAGAGTGTATGTGCCAGTTGAGTTGTGTGTTAAAAATCAGGCTGATAAATGCTCTGGGATACAATCCAGGAAACATCTTTAAACTATTTAAGTGGAAGGGGCACTTAATTTGAGTTGTGTGAACTGTGTCTGTGATGATTTCCTACTTGTGTGCAAAACAACGAAAATTCAATGGCATTCCCAATTTGCTACTTATCTGTAGGAATGAACTTAAATTTCCATGAAGGACATCCTTACAGGGTCTACATATCAGTATGACGTTTTAAACCTAATTCCATTTTATTGATGCAGTTCAACTCTTGTGAATCATTGCCACTTGTTCACCAACCTTTCTATTTATTTTGTTGTCTATTGAAATTATTATTTGCATTTTTGATGTGCATTCATTTTTCTCAGATTTGTCTTATGTGGACCATGCTGGTCTAAAATGCTGACATTTTGACGATTGGGGCCATTTAGAGAGACCTGTCTTTGTAATGCGACTTAAATTAGATCGATTGGGTTTAAGATTTGAGCTATGGTTTATGTTGAAATGTGCGCCTAATTGACTCATCTTAACTTTTGACAGATCTATATCTATACCTTGACTTTCTTCCTTTCTAGAATGTATCAATACATGGTACATAATTTTATACTTTCATTTAAGAAGCTGTATCTTTCTTTTATCGCTCTAACATTTTGAGCTTTATGTTGTGCATTATTAGATGATGCTGTCAAGTAACAATGAGATAGTATTAATACCAAAAGATAAAAACCTAATTTTTGGAAAACCTTGTAAGATTAATCAAAGCAGAAGAATCTGGATGGGTAGTCTGAAGCTTCATGGCTTATCTTGGCCTTGTGGTTGTTACTATCAGATAGCAGATTCAAAGCATTGTCTTTATAAAGAGGATCAACATGTTACATATTTATTTGTTTACTGAATACTGTTATGAATGCCTACAGTATCACTTCAACCAGAATTACTTTTGGCAGTCTTTCCTTTTGTAATTAATGTTGGTTTCAAATGATGAGTTCAATTTTATGTTTCTCATATCACATTTCATGCTATAAAGCTCTGAAGTGGTTTCTCTCAATGTTTCCCATGTGTGAATTGGCCATTTTGTGATAATCTTCTTCCTGCTCTGAATTTTTGTTCAGTGTGAGAAAGAAACCCTTTGTTAAAAGTGTTGTGTACATTTTTATTTACGCATCTTACATGTTAATTGGTTGTACTCTTTGTTGAAAATAAAATTTATTTATGTTTATACTCTTCTATTCTAAAGCAATAGATGAGAAAATTTATATTGAGTATGTCACTCAATAAATATTTTTAGTAAGAATGAGGAGTGTGAAAGCAACTCAATAAAAGTAAAAATTGAATGAATTAAACTCTTTTTTTTAAATACTGAAACAAATGAATATATGTACTTCTGTATGTAAAGATCAACATATGTGTAAATACATATAGTATCTATATTTATATGTATGTACAGGTATTGTGTAAATTTGGCATATTCAATTAAAAAGTACGAAAGTTGTTAATGTCTAATTTGTTGCTCTTTCCTCAACCTTGGCCACTTTGCATCAAGAAATAATGGAAGTCTTAACTATTACTATAATACATTTGGATGAATGATAAAAGCACTTACTCTAACAACAGTTGAAATCAGTCTAATCATAGAACATTCATCATTTGTTGTTGTGGCAATATTACAAGTAAGCCCAATGACAGCACTTGACTCAGTCTTCTTTAGTCTTATAACAATTACTGTACACCTCACTTAAACAGCAATAAGCTGATTCCTTCTAGAAAAGAAAATCACAGTCAATAACTCAGGAAGTTATCTGAAGTAAATTATGCAAGGATACAGGCATAGCATAACTGCATGCGGCAGAAAACAATAGGAGTACAGGGATCGAGGTGAACGACACCTCACAAAAACAAAGTACAGAAGCAGAGCGGACTAGTTGGCAAGAGCCTCCTTTGGAGGTAACACGTTTGGTGAGGTTCAGGCGGTCTGCAGGACTGCAGTGGACTGCAGCAGGCGGCTTCCCGCTGCGCTTCCCGCTGCAGGGCCTGCAGGGTCAGGGGGTCAGGGGGCCTGCAGCACGCTGCCGCACTGGGCCACGTCCGCGGCACCCCGCGCGGCCACCACCACGGCACTGTTGGGGAAGAGCTTCCTGGCGGTGGCCAGCACCCTGGGCCCGGCCGGCGCCTCCAGCACCACCACCTTGGCGCAGTCTCTGAGGGCGGCCCGCGCCAGGCACACCAGCTGCACGTCCTCGGGCTCGGCGCTCAGCGGACTGTGCACGTCCAGGGGCGTGAGCAGCTTCCTCTCCAGCGACGCCACCAGGTCGCGCAGCCCCGAGCGCTCCAGCGCCTCCCACAGCTGGGCGTCGCTCCAGACGCCGTGCGGGTCCAGGTTCCACCTGCACACGGCAAAGGCGAGGGCTGCAGGCAGGCTCATTCCGAACAGTGTCTCTCTCGCACTCGGAAGCACACGAGAGACACTTGTGCGAACGGAAAGGCAGGATGTCGTACCTGAGAGTGCCCCTGAAGATGGTGGGCTTGGCGGGCACGACCACCACGGCGGAGCGCAGCAGCGACAGCGGGATATCAGCGATGTCGGCGCCGCTCACGAGGATGACGCCGGCCGAGGGCCTGATGAAGCGCAGCAGGGCGGCGGCCAGCACCCCGGAGGACGCGCCCAGCACGCCCATGCACTCGCCCAGCGGCACGCGCGTCGACAGCGCGCGCAGCTCCGGGGGCCGCCACACGTCGCGCAGGATGAGCCCGCCGGCGTCCGTCAAGCTGGGCCAGTTGAGGTTGGGGTCGTCGTACGACGCGCCGCTCTTGACGCTCAGGGACTCGTCCTCCACCTCGGCGCGCTAGAGCAGAGCATCGCGGTCACTCTGGGTCGGGCGCGGCCATGGCGCGGCGGCCAGGGTGGGGAAGGAGGTACTCACGTGGACCAGGTCGCGGGCCTTGGCGGCGGCGGCGAGGTGCGAGCGCGCCCTGACGGCGGCGACGGCGGCCCTGGTCAGGTGGGTCGTGATGAGGCACAGCAGCAGCGCCGTCATGCCCAGCGCCGCGCCGCTGCCCGGCACCGGCGGCAGGTCGTCCGGCATGGCGGCCTGGTGACTGAGTTGGCTTTCCAGCGGCGCGGGCAGCGTCACCGCGATGGAGGTGGCCGTCGTCGGCGCCCAGATCTGCGCCACCAGCGTGACGAGCCCCGTGACGATGGCGGCGGCGCGCAGACGCACGGCCAGCCAGGCCGGCAGGGACTCGGCGTGCACCAGGTCCGTGGCGCCCTGGTCGCACAGCGACGCGAACCGCGCCACCACGTCGTCCTCGCGGCCCAGCGACAGCACCATGGCGCGCGACGCGAAGGAGGCCGACACCAGCTGCCGCAGCGAGCCCCGGCACTCGCGCTCCCGCTGCCACATCCGCGTCGCCGCCACGCTGCAAAAGAAGCAGAGGGCCGCGTCAGCTCGGTGGTCGCTAGGCGCCGCTAGGCCACTGGGGACTCATCAGGAACGCATCAGACGCCTCATCATGAGAAACGTGCCGTTCGAGCGATCCCGTTTTGCTAACATAAGACGTAGGGCCGTCTTCCGGAAGTACTGTAGCATACGTATCTTGGAGAGATCCTGATTAGGATACTCCTGGCGCCATCCTGGTCAGAGCTCTTCAGGCAGTACAAGCGATTTCACAAAGTCGAGGCGCGTGTTGACGGACGCCACCCCTGTGTGATTGGAAGACGTCATGCACGTCCTGGACGTACCTGGTGATGTACGTGAGCATGAGCGCGCCGGGCAACAGCAGGGCCAGGACGGCGACGGCGGCCCAGGTGGAGGCGAGGGCGAGCAGGGCCATCTCGGCCACGACAAGCGGCGTCCAGGCCACGAGGCCGCACAGCGCGCGCGGCAGGCCGGCGTCCAGCAGCCAGGTGTGTGCCTCCAGGGCGTGGCGCAGGGCCGCGGCGTGCGCGCGAAGGAAGCCCACGGTGGCGCAGCCGACGCGCTCCAGCCAGCGGCTGTGCACGCGGCGCGACTGCGTCAGCAGCGACTGCGTCACCATGAAGGTCCTCAGAAAGCCGAGCGCCACCACGAGGCTGGCCGACATGAGGAAGCCCAGCACGAGCAGCGGCGGCCGCGGCTGCAGCAGCGCCAGCCAGAAGCACAGCAGCATGGTGGCGTACAGCGCGGACTGCAGCAGCATGGGCACGGCCAGCAGCGCCAGCCGGCCCGGCGCCATGCCGCACTCCGCGGCCACGGAGCGCAGCTCGATCCACGCGCCCGTGCCCGCCACCGCCTCGTCGTCCGAGTCCCGGGACCGCTCCACGGCGCGGGTCACCTCGCTGGACATGGGCGGCATCCACCACTGCTCCCTGCGGGTGGAGAAGCAGAGCAGGGGTCAGGTGGCGCACAGTAGACTGATTCCGAAAGTCGTTTTCTTTTATCTTCCTCGCCCCATGGGTGCGAGACGAGGTGCGAGAGCGACAGAGCTACGAAAACGACTCTCGGAATCAGTCTGCAGGCCACGGACGGTGCCACGGACGGTACTACGGACTGCACGGCCTTGATGGCCTCGGACTCACTCTCTGCTGTGGGAGTCGACGACCTGCGGGTACTCCCTGCCGCTTTCCGCCAGGACCGCCGGCTCGTCGCGCTCCAGGACGCGGCCCTCACGCATCACGTACACCTCGTGGCAGTGGCGCAGGTGCTGTGGAGGGAAGACGGCGGACGGTGAGGACGCCGTCGTGCAGTGGGCCAGATGACCGGTGCCGGCGGTCAAAACTCGACACGCGTTTTTAGCTTCAGAGTCGCTCAGCAGGACTCGAACCGAGCTTGTGACCCCACCAATGGATTCCTCGTTCGGAGAGCAATCCATTGGTGGGGTCAAACGTTCGGTTCAAGTCCCATTTTGCGACTCTGGAACTCAAAACGCGTCGGGGGCTCACTGTGCACCAGCCTGCGGGCCACCCGGGCCACCCCACACCTTCCTACCTGCTCCCTGTTGGTCACCAGGATGACGGTCTTGTCCTTGAGCGCGCCCAGGATGGCGCTTTCGAAGATGCGGTCCGCGGCGGCCGAGTCCAGCGCGCTCAGTGGGTCGTCCAGCAGGTACACCTCGCGCTCGGCGTAGATGGCGCGCGCGAGCGCCAGGCGCTGTAGCTGTGCCGGCGTCAGCCGAGACGAGTCCACGAGCGTCTCGTCGCCCGTCGCCATGGCCTGGAGCAAGGAATGGGTGTCACACTCGGTGGGAAGCAGCCTGCGAGAGACTGATTTCGAGATTCATTTCCGTCGCTCTGTCTTTCTCGCAACTGTACGGGACGCCCCATGAGTGCGACAGGGACAGAACGATGAAGACGACTCGGAATGATTCTGCAGGCGACCGCCGCCGGTGTGCCGCGGTACTTCTCACCTGGACGTCGCGCTCCAGGCCCGTGCAGTGCAGCGCGCGGTAGTAGCGCTGGCTGGAGAGCGCGCTGCGCATGGTGACGTTGTCGCGGACGCTGCCCGGCAGCAGCGTGCACTCGGGGCCCACGTACGCGGTGCTCTCGTCGCGGTGCAGCTGGCCGGCGGTGAGGTGCAGCTGTCCGCAGGCCGCCAGCAGCAGCGCCGACTTGCCCGAGCCCGGTCGGCCGCACACGCCCACGAGCTGGCCCTGCGGAAGGACAAGCAGAGCGGGGAGTCGAACCGAGTCGAACCGACCTGGCACCCAGCCACCCAAACCCCACTGGCAGCGTACCTTGTTGACGACGATGTGGATCGCCGTGAGCACGTTGTTGGACGACGGCTGAGGCGGCAGGAGACGGGGCGCGTCCCTGCAAGAATGACCGTCAGGATGGTTTAGACCAGACCGCCTCCAGCGACCTTCTCCGCATTGGAGTTGCTTTCAATACTTGCCCGTCGATCCCCGGCCGGTGCGTTCCCTGGGACAGCGCCGTCGCCGTTGTGAACCACGAGAAGCTGGCCGTGTTGATGGACAGCGCGACCAGGCGGTCGATGGGCTGGCCGGGGTGGGTCTTGGCCTCCTCGATAGAGAGAACTGCCTGGAGAACATGGACACCACGGCACTTAAACGTTTTTCTGCCTGCCGCACTCTCTGTGCGTTCCATCCAAGTGCATGCTAACCCACCTTGAGCTCCCCGAGGCAGTTGCGCGCCTCGAGGACGGCCTGCACGGCCTGGCCCCAGCCGCGCAGGGCGGCCTCCATCTGGACCAGGAACAGGATGAGCACGGGGTACACCTGCAGCACGAGATGGCGGTGTTGGCGACTCGGAGGCTAATGCGGCAATGCAGCAACAGCAGGATGGCGGTGGCATTGAATCGGACGCTACCGCGGCTACCGCCTGCGGGTCCACCGCGCCACGGCCCGCAACGCTCGCGTGCGGCCGGGCTGCCTACCTCGCCAGGCTGTTGGCTGCTGGCTCTGCTGGACAGACTTACCTGCGTGGGCGGCGCGCTCCTCTCCGGCACGAAGGTGGGGTGCAAGGCGAGGGCCACGGTGACGGCCGGCACGGCGGAGGGCAGCAGCGTCCTACACACCGAGTCCACCGTGGACGCCAGCCGCAGCGACACGGACTCGACGCGGCGCAGCTCTGCGGGGCAGGGACGTCCAAAGGCGTCATGGCGGTGCGGACGGCGTGCTCCGGGACTGACCGCCGTGCTGCGGACTCACCTCGGATGCGGCGGATGAGGGCGCTCTCCACCATGAAGGCCTTGGCGTGCTCGGCGAGGGACAGCAGCTCGAACGTGCGCTGCTTGCGCCATCGCGAGAAGGCCGAGTGCGCCCTGGTGCGCAGCCGCGTCGTCAGCCCCGTCGCCACCGTCTGGAGACTCAAGCGGCATGTTCACTCCAAATCTACCGGCGGAGCACATTCAGCGCGCGGTAGAGGGCAGCCTCACCTGGAGCATGGCGGCGAACAGGTAGACGGCGGCGGCCACGACGGCGGCCTCGCCGATCAGGACGCAGGCCGAGGACACGCTAAGCAGGATGAGCACGGGGGCGATGACGAGCTGCGGGGCATGCTCCACCGCGCGCCACAGCGGCGTGCCGCTCGACAGCACCAGCGCCTCCACCTGGGAGGGACAGGATAGGTTAGGTTAGGTTGAGGGTTGGTCGGAACGCCGGGTTGTCGTTCGTTAGTTTAGGGAGCGATGTGTTAAGTTAAGGGGAATGTGTGTTTGATGCTAAGCATACGCGGCGTTACCTGGTGAGGGTGCAGGTCACTGCAGCTGTTGATCCGGATCGCCTTCCTGTACAGCAAGCCCTGCAACGCGGCGCGGAGGCGGCCCGCTTGTCTGGAAGGGAAGGAAGGCCTCAGAAGGCATTAGCGGTGTAGTGGGGGAACAAGGCACCAATCCAATACCCTGGCCGGCCAACTTACCGGGTGGCGATGCTGGAGGCGCCCGCGGTCACCAGGCAGGCCAGCACCTCGCAGAGGGCGAAGCCCGTGGCCCAGAGCACGGCGGGGACCTGGTCGGCCGGCGTGTCGTCCATGGCGCTGATGAGGGCGGCGATGAGCAGCACCTGCGAGGTGGGCGTTAGTGGGCAGGTCGTGCACTTGTAGGGTTGCCAACTTGAGCCTACGCAACATCTGGCCAATGCTGCTTTGCTTTGGGGATGCTGCTAACTAGACAGGTGGAAGTTGGCAACCCTTCCGACGCCACTGCATCGTGGGAATGTTTGCCTGCTTGTGTGGCAACCCTGACGTCGTGCTAGGAGGGACTTACAGGCGAGGCCACGCTGCCGATGGCGCCCACCACGCCGAGGACGCAGGCGGCGACGAGGCGGCCGCGGGTGAAGGCCCAGATGCAGCGGCCCAGGTCGGGCGCGCCGCGCTGCACGCCGGACACGCCGGCCACGGTGGGCACGCCGGACACGTGCAGCAGCTGCATCAGGCGCAGCGAGTCGGTGAGGCTGGACTGGGACTCGTTGACGAAGGCGCTGCTGTCCACCTCCTCGCCGCGGAAGGCCTTCCACACGGCCGGGCTGAGCCAGCCCAGGGCGGCGCGCGCCACCAGCCCGCGCCACGACCCGAAGCAGGGCGCGCAGGCCAGCAGCAGCGGCCACCACCCCCGGCGCTGCTGGGGGAAGCCATCGGGCAGCGGCAGCGGCGCGTCGTCCGGCAGCAGCAGGTGGGCGCTGTGCGAACTGCAGTGCAGCGACCATTAGTGTCGCCGCGCCGACGAGTCCGATAGGTTTGCCAACCTCAGCATCCTGACTGGCCAATGTGTGGACCTAGCTGCACGAGAAGTTGCTTTCCGGGCAGGCTGAGATTGGCAACCCCATCGACTATAGGCTGAACATTATCACGACCCCACGCCAAAATTAAGCCCCCCGTTGCACTGAAAAAATTCTCTCGGCCTAGAAAAATACTCTCGGCCCGGAGAAATGCTCTTGGCCTAGAGAAATGCTCTTGACCCCAGGGTTGAGAACCGCTGGTGGTGTAGGCGGCGCCCGCCCAGGTGCCCAAGTGCGGTACTCACCCGCCGCCTGCTCCATCTCTCTGCAGACGGTGGTACGCCTGTTCTTCGGTCACGGAGGTGTACGCCATTCCTGCGGACAGCAAACCAGGGTCAGCACACCGGGAGGCGGCGCGCCCGGCGGTGGCACCGTCGCCGACGTCGCCGTGGGCTCGAACTTGGCCTGTACCGATTTCTCATGCCGTATCGTATCAGTGTCGCCCCGGCGCGGCCGGCACTGCCGCGAGCAGCGGGAGAGAGAGAGTGCATTCCAGTGCCCTTTGGGAGGCGAGCGCAGCGCGCAGCGCGCCCATTGGCCCGCCCCGCCGGCACCGCGTCCTGCGTCCTGCGTCCACTGGGCACGCCGACACTGGACTGGGCCAGCAGGCCTGCAGTAGAGCCTGTAGGCGCCGTGGGCCATGCTCGGCCATGTTCGGCCATGCTCGGCCATGCTCGGGCACGTGGGGCTGTTTACGACGGGAAGCTCGTCACACTCACACTGCCACACTGTCACTTTCACACTTCTGCTGCAGTCACATACTGCCACACACTGACACACTGTCACACTGTCGTCGTGCCGCGGAGCCGCGGAGCGGGGCCAATGAAGGCTGGCGCTCGCTGGCGCCGCGACTGTGGGTCACAGTACGGTAGTGAGACCGAGACCCGGCGCCTCGACAGGCTAGGCAGGCTAGGCGGCGTGCGGCAGGTCATTCCCGGCGGCACCGTGCCCCGCCTCTGCCTCTCTCTCTGTCACTCTGTCGCTAGCAGCGGCACCGGCCGGCAGTGGGACAGAGACAGCGGAGGGCGGCCGTCGAACGCACCCGACCGCCGCCACTCGAAAGATGAAGGCGGTGCGACGCGGTGCGTTTGACGGTGTGACGGCGCCGAGGCCTTGGTCCGAATGTCGATGGACTTGGCCTGCGCCGGGTCGCGGGTCGTCCTTGGCGCGATCGGGGCCGTGGCGGTGCCGCGGCACTCGGACAAGGCCATGTGGGCGGCACGCGGGCCGCGGTACGTCAGACTACGTCAGCCACGCACGGCACGGCCGAGCCCCGCCGAACCTCGCGCCCGGCCCGGCTCGCCGACGATGAGCTGCACGACGCGAGGCGACGCGACGCCGCGACGTGCATGGGACGGATAAAAAGAGGATGGATAGATTCGCCTCTTCCCGACTCGGCGCGCTAATTTGGTTACGCACGCGGTTTCCACTCCGACATTGACAGCTCATTCCAATGCGCTCCGCGAGCTTGCATGCGGCAGAGCGATAACAGCGCCGACAAATCAGCGAAATAAACGAAACTTTGCGATTTTTCATGATTTGTTCTCTGTTGGCAGCCGTGGACCGCGCTCACTCTGCGGCCGCCAGATAAGCTGGCCATGCGGGGCGGGTAGGGGCGGGGTGCGGCGGGGCGTACCTGGTGGGAATGGCCTGCTGCCGCCTGCTGCCCTGCCCTGGCAGATAACGATACAACGATACGATGCGCCAGGATTCGTCACCCTGCCTGGCCTGCCTGGCCGCCGCGCTGTGGTACAAGAGGCACCGATGACATTCTACGCCCTCCGCCTGCAAGATCCTTGCAATCATCGAAGTCGGCCGTTCCGATACACCCCCCACACAGAAAAATCCCCTCCCTCGCGGCTGCAACATGTCCCTTCGACAAGCAAAGTGCACACTGGGCTGGACAACCTTGGCGGGCGAGACAGAGGCACCCACCTGGTCGCGGCTACATCGCCGGCGCCCCTCCGGGCGCGGGTGTCGGTGTCGGCCTGACGTTCGGCGAACGGGTGGTGTCCAGGACGTGGGCGTTGTCGGTGGTGCAGGTGGACGTGGACACTGGCTGCTACAGCGCTGCTGCTTTTGCCGGCTTCGGGCCGCTTCGGGCCGCTATCGCAGCCGGGGCTCGGGGCTCGGGCTCGGTCGCCTTGAAGCGCGGCGCGGCGCGGTTCGCTGCGGCGGCGCGGTTCGGCGCTGCGTCTCGTGCTGTGGGCGCCGCGGTGGGTGCTGCCAGGCCGCCAGGCACATGGGCCTCACCGGGGCCTTATCACCTCACCTCGACGCGACGCGACCCGACGCTGTGCGACGCGGCGACGCGACGCGGCACCGCGCGGCATCGTCGCGCACCTGCACGGCCATGGTGCGCCGGTATGTACGTAGCGCTCTCCGCGCCGCCCCGCGCCAACGGCGCCAACGGTACGCCGAGCCGGGGCCAGCCCAGCGCGGCCTCTATCCTTCTATCTACTCGAAGCAGCGAAGCACTATCACTTGATTCTTCGCCGCCACACCTCTGCGATCCGAGATCCCGCGGGACTGTTCTGCGGCTCCGCGCCACGCACTAGGCCGCGCCAGCTTGCCAGCTGGGCCCCGCCTCGCCTCGCGCGCCTCGCCAGTCCGGACTTGGAGGCGCGGGCTCGATCCGGCCGGCCAGGACCACGCCGCGGAACACCGCGCAGCCTACTGCCTGACTGGACTGTCCGGACTGCAGGGTGCCAACGGGCCAGCGAGCTCCGGGCCGCCCCGGGCCAGGTGGGTACCTCTGCATTCGCTGACCCGCATCCCGTCCCGTCCCGTCCCGTCCCGCGGTCCGCCGCGGTCCATCCGCCACGCGCGCACAGCACCGCGCCGCCCGCGCGCCGGGCCCGGCCGCCCGGCCACCGCACTTGAAGGTCGCGCAGCGCAGCACGGCGCATCCAGTTTGAAAAATCCGGCGCGGCGCCACGGTGGTACAGTCCGTTTCAGAACGTAACCCAAGTCCAAGTGTCGCATGGCGTTCGCCGCTTTGGCGTGACGTAACTACTGTCGTCGTCGTTGGTCGTTTCGTGGATAGGGCCGCGTAGCCGCGTAGCCGCCTCGGAACGGCCGGACAGGCGCCCGGGCCGCGCTAGAGCCGCGCTAGGCCGCGCAGGCACGGTGGCCGCCGAACACCTCCATCCACAGACACGGGGCATGTCCGCGCGCGGCCGCGTAGAGTCGTTGCTGGCGCGGGGTAGCGCCGCGCGCAGTGTAGCGCCATGACGTCGCGAAGCCACGGCGAGACTCTGCGACTCAGAACCCGACCGTCGTTTGTTTCTCGGTGTTGTTTTCGTTGCGTTCAATCGCGTCTGTGAGCGAGATTGTGAACTTTGGACGGTGCGCTTCATCTCGGCGTCTTTCAGGCGGTTGTGTTCTACTCCCATGCCCGTTGCCTGCGTCGTGCCCCAACATTTTAAGTCATGACTTTCGGTTCGAAAGTAGGGCGTTCTAATTCTATTCTCGCCGACAGGTGCCGCCACTGGCGATTTGTATGGTTTCTCACTGCGATGACGTCATTCTGTCGTCTGTCATGATCGCGATCGAGATGGCCCCAGCCACAACATTTGCGTGCGACGTCGCGGCGAGTGACTGACTGGACTCTTCGCGGTGCAACGGCGACGCCCCCTGGAGCAACGCCCTCGCCGCTGGATTCGGACGTTGGGAGATGCGGTCGTTACGTGCAGTGCCATGACGCGCAGTTGCAGCTAGGCTAGGGCGGGCACGTCCAGGACTTGCAGGGCTTGCTGCGCCAGCGCCAGGCTGCGCCAGGCAGTGGCACTCATTCACGTAGAACGCCCGAGCGCCGCGGCGGCACAGCGGCACGGCACCGTCATGCCCTGGTGGCCACCCTCGCCGTGAGCGCCAGGCTCGCCCAGTGCCAGCCCGGCAGCGCCGCGGCCAGAGCCCAGCCCAGCACAAGGCCCCTGTCGTGCTGCACCATGGCCGAGGCCCCCATGGCGCCAGGGGGCCCCAGCGCACCCGGGACCCCCGGGACCTCCGGCACTCCGGGGACCCCCGACGCCCTGGTGCCGCAGTGGAAACGAGACTTGCTGGAGCGACGGCGAGTGATGGGACGCAGCATCTCGGCGCCTGGAGGCGGAATGGGCGGCCTGAGTCTGGGCCTAACCTGTCCCGGTGTAGTGGCGGCGGTCAGGTACCCCCACGGCACGCCCGGCCCGCCTGGCGGGCATGGAGGGGCCCAGAGCACCTGGCCCGCTGCACCTGCAGCCGCGCCGACGACGCCGCCCGCGACGCCAGCAGCTGCAGCGACGCTCGCCGGGCCGAGCGGCGGCAGCGGCAGCGGCGAGGCCCCCGCCGACTTTCACCGCAGAGTGCGCTTGGCCCCCGAGCCCGTCGGAGCGGCAGCGGCAGCAGTGTGGGCAGCAGCAGCGCCCCTCGAGAGGCTCGAGAGCGAGACAGCGGCAACGGCAACGGCAGCCACAGTGCCGCAGCCGGTCGGAGTCGGAGTCGGGGTCGCTAACATGCGGCTGGTGGAACAGCTGCAGCTCCAGCGCGGCGTCGGTGTCGGTCACGACGACATAACCTTCAATGGCCTGCACCCGGACGAGCTGGGAGTGAAGAAGCAGCGTCTGCACTGCGTCCCCGTGGCCAGCATCGGCACAATGGTGGAGGAGAAGTCGCCCCTGCCTCTGACGGGGCCCCGCGCCCTGGTGCGCGTCCCCCGCACGCCGCGGATCGCCAAGCAGTACCTGGCCAAGGTGGCCAAGAACGACACCAACACCGCCATGGCGGAGGAGTGCAACTCGGACTCGAGCGAGGAGCTCCAGTACGGACCGGGGATAGTGAAGAAGCTCAAGAGCAAATACTTGAGCATGACTTTGAGGGAGAGTGGTTCTAGGCCCTCCTTGTCTAACATGAGGAGAGCCACTTCGCTGGAAAATTTGCTTGACGAGGAGCCAGTGAAGCAGACTGATACCAAGCCGCCACACTTTGTCAAACGTGTGCCTGGCCATACAGCTAGGAAAGTTGTGTCAACGCATCAGTCTCGCAGTGCAGAGCCTTCCCAACGGGACATGAAGCGAGCTCGTTCAATGGAGACTTTACTTCGCTACGACCCTAAGCTTCATATGAGTCACTCCAATTCCGGACTCAATGTTCACCTGGAGGACGTTGAGAATGACAGCACTATCAGCGACAACAGAGAATGGAGTGCTGTGCATCATCGCAAATCTGCTGAGGGGGACAAAGAGGAGTCCCTGTTGCTGCGAAAGAAGTTAGCTGTTACTGTGGAGCAAACAGAACTACCTCCTCCTGATCTTGTGAAGCAGACTTTAAAGATTTTTGAGTCATCGGGTTCCCCTGGACCTGTGTCTCCACCAGTGCCCCCAGTGCGCTCCTCTGTGAGCAAGAGTGTTAATTTTAAGACAAATAATGCCAAACCAGTGCCTAAAGTGAATAATTCTGTGTCAAAGAAACCTCAGGTTTCACCCAAACCAGTGTTCAGCCCTGAGAAACTCCGTTCTCCAGCCAAAGTGGCATCACCAAAGAAAAGTGTTGAGGTTAGTGATAGAGTGACCGTTGTAGACAGTGTGAGTGCTCCACCTCCAGTTCCTTGCCGTCGCTCTGGTGATTCGTCCCCAGTGCCGGTGAGCCCAGTGAGTCCCCTGAGCAGCCCAGTAGCCCCACTTGCTTCTGCTGTTCCACCCAGTCAGGCTAGGAATTCAAGCATTAGAAGTCCTCCCTCACCAAGGAAGACTATGGGCCTTCCTGTCTTATCACCAACCGAAGACAAACCTCCTCCGATTCCAAGGAGAGACAAGTCTCCTAGTTCATCGACTCCTGCCACTCCTCTTACTCCGACAACACCTGTTAATGGTAACTCAAATGGAAGACCGGAGTCTTTGGACGTAAAGCCAATTTACTCAGCCTCTGACAGTGATGAAGAAATGGATGACATTGATGCAGTCAGCACCAAGTCTGTATCCACATCAGCTTTAGAAAACATCCGGAAGGATGGAACCTCCATGCAGTTCAGCTTTGGAGCCAACATGAGTCCTTCAAATGACATGTCGAAGTCTCACTTGCCAAAAGTGAAGCCTACTCCTCCTAAAGATCTTCCCATTCCGGTCAAATCAATGCCTACAAACAATGTTCGCTCTATGTCTCCATTTGAAAATCCGGCTGACTCTGCTTCAAGGCCTGGCACTGTTTTCAATGTGGCCGCGTTACCTCATGGGGCTGTTTTAAAATCACCTGAATCCCCAGTCCAGCACGCTAAACAAGTTGGTGTCATCAGGCCACTTGTGTCAACAAAGCATCACACTCCTCACAATTCATCACCTGTTCCCAGCGCAGCAACGACTCTGACTAACAGAGAGATAGAGAAAAATTTGATCAATCGAGCAAAGTCCATTGAGCAACCTGTCACAAAAGTGGTGGTGTCTTTGAAGAAACTTCCCGATGATGTTGTTGTTGGGTCTGTCTCACATGGTGCTCTGGCATTTGCTGTCAACGGCGAAGAAGGAAGCAGCCCTCCTGGAGCCAGTGCCAAACGTGGGAAAGCTCCTGGTCTCTGGGACAAGAAACCCTGGCATCATCAAGACAATACCATGGTTTTCAACTTCAGCAACCGCAAGGAGGTGCCCGATTACATTGAGAATGATGGACTAATTCTTCGTGGGAAAAGGGAGAAACCAAGGGTGAGTGCTTTTCTTCATCTTTTTAGAGATCATTTGAAAAAAATTAGTTCTTATTTTAAAAATTAAAATCATGTGCATAAAATAATTAAGCAGCAGCAAATTTTAGAAAATTTACTGTCCCTTGATTATTGAATCTTTATTGAGAGTACTATGCAGGAATTGAACTGAACTGATTCTTGTTGACTTTACATAAATTTCCAGACAACCGTTTACCAAGAGTAAACCTTAAATGTCTGCTATGCTAGTGTATGGAAAAAATGAAACCAAAGTCAAATATTCTTTGCAAGAATCAGAACCTCTTCTTGTCAGCTGCGCAGTACTGTCAGGGGCATGTTGAAGTTGAAGCAATCCAAAGTACACTCAGTTCTGTGTATTGACGTTTATCTACAGTAGAGCACTGAGAGCTAAGGTGGAGGGGAAATTTTTTCTTTTCATTATTTTGGCCCGTCCCGTGTATTTTTTTTTTTTCCATTTTGCCCACCTTCCTGTTTTTAGCAGTTTGGTGTGAGTGTGAGTCACGGGACATCCCAGACGAACGAACACCTGCGGCCCCGATGCAGGGCTTAGCGGGTCAGGGGGTGCGGTGGTGTGCGGTGCGGGTGGGAAATAAGGGGGGGGGGAAGGCTTATCGAAGATAGGCCCTTGGATAGGCCGTGCCATGCGGACATTCGGCAAACAGGCGTGGGCCGCAGCGCTGCACACGACCAGAATTGGATTCCCCCTCCCCTCCCCTCCCCTCCCTATCCTCTTCTAGGATGCGCCTCATTGTCCGCGTGGTCTGTGTGTGTGTGTGCGCGCGCCTCCACCTGTCGTGACTCACACCGGACAGAAGAGAGAGAGAGAGACAGAGAGAAGGGAACGGAGGGGGAGGGGGTGCTCTCCGCTTCCCCCTTCCTGGAGTCGCTCGTCGTGGTGGGATGGGTGTGGCCGGCCACTGCGGTGTGGGTGGCTGGGCTGGCTGGCTGGCTGGGCGACGTCTAGGCGAGGCAAGTGGTGTCGCTTGGGCTCGACCGCCGCCCTTCCATGCCGTGGCCTCGTGGCAAGGACTCGCGTCCAGGGGCTCCGAATTTCATCTATTTTTGGGTTGTTTTGGGCTGTTTCCAGCCACATCCTGGCTTGTTGTGAGGCGTGTTAGAGCCTAAGAGTCGGGCCAAAAGTTTTGAGAGTGCGTGCCCCTTCGGAATAGTGCTTCCACCGCTCTGCACTGCAACCGGTGCCTTGCCTCTATCTCCTACACAAGAGGAGCCTCGCAGGGGTGCGAGAGAGACAGCGACGGGAGCACTGTTTTGGATCGGCCTGCGTGCCGGCCGGTCCGGCTGGAGGCCCTAGCTGGAGGCTGGAGGGGGCCCCACTGTAATGAGCGTACTCCAGGGCCCCTTCCGGCCGGCCTCGGCCCCTCCCGGCCTCGGCCCCTCCGCGCTCCGCCCGCAGGCTGGACTGAGTGGAGGGCTGCGAGGCCGTGCCGTGGACTATGGGCGCCGGTGGCGGCTAGGTGGCGGCCGGCCGACGGGGTCCTTTGCAGTTAGTACGGCCGGCTGGGTCCGAAAGATCGTTCCGTTGCTCTGTCTCTGTAGCACCCCGCTGGGACGCGCGGGACGCCCCATGAGTGCGACAAAGACAGCGCCGAAGCGATCCCTCGGCACGAGGCGGCAGGCAGGCGTCGCTCAAATTGGATGAGCCAGCTCGCTGCGTGCTTCCCTTGAGCCAGGCCAGGCCCAGGCCAGTCGGCCAGGTCGCAGGGGCGGAACCAGGACACAGCCCCTGTGTGTGTGGGTGCGTGGGTGTGTGGGCTTGTCACCCGGCCCAGCGAGCGTGGTGTACTTGCACGCCGGGCGGCTAAGTGGCTTCCGCGAGGCGTCCCGTCACTCACGGCACGGTGCGCGACGCGCGTCAAACGGGTCGGGGCAGTGGCCCCGGGTTCGAGTCCTGTTAGCGTCGCGTTCGGCGGGGCGCCCTTGACGCTCGGCGACCACGGGAATGCCATTGCCGTCATGAGCCCCAATCAGACGACTCTGTTATTGATTGAGTGGCTCGCCGGCGGGGGCGGCGGGGCGGCCGCGGCGGCTGATTATGCACCTGTTGCCCCGTCGAACAGTGGCGCGGCACCGCGGCGCGCTTGACGCCGTGCTTTATGCGACCGGTGCCTGCCAGGCCGCCACGCCGCACTCGCGCCATAGACGAGTGGAATTCTTGAACCACTCCACCGCTCCACTGTACAGCATACTGTATCTCTAGAAGGCAAAAAATGAGAAGAAAACAATTGCGCACGGAACGTGGCGGCACATTGTGCACATTGTTAGAGTGCCGCGTCGGAAATGGACGGCGTGTTTTTGTGTCCGTATCGCGGGGCGAGCGGCGCGCGGCGAGCGGCCGGGAGGGGCATGGACGGAAGTGCGCGCGGGCGGCGGGGCGGCGGGGCGGCGGGGCGGCGGGGCGGCGGGGCGGCGGGTCCCTGTGGGGGCGGTGGCGGCCGGTGGTCCTGTGGGCGCACGCTTCCGCTGCACCCGCCGCGCTAGGCGATGCTTGGTTAGGCTTGGCGGGGTGCGCTATGCTTCGCTATGCTTCGCTATGCTTCGCTGTGCGAGTGGACAGGCTGGCCGGGCTGGCGAATGGATTGCGCAATGTGAGAGTTGTTTCGGAGCGGAGCCGCGGAGCGATTGAGTGTCTGGAACGCGACACCGCCGGCGTCCGCCAGCTGGTCGATGGACAAAGTGCAACTCGATGCTACTCCCCTCCTCCAGGCCCTCCAGGATAGAAAGGCCGTCTATGACGCGGTGCAATGCGCGTGGCGCCGTGCCGTCGCCTGTGGCGGTTGTCGCCCCCAACCAATGGCACCTAGATAACCGCCTGAAAGAAAGGCCATGCGACAAGCGTTACTTTGCCCCCCGAAAAGGCCGCCGCTGGATCCGCCCCTGCCACCGCCGTGCCATGCGCCGCGTCGCCACGCGGCCCCAGTTGGGGTCGCCACGCCGCGGTGCCTCGCGTCCTCGCGTCACGGTGCGCGCCGCTCCCCGGGCCCTAATGAAGGTCCTGCACCTCCGGAGGCACTGCCTCCGTCGCTTCCGCGGCCTCCGCTAGCTTTTTGAACCTCCCCTGCCGCTTTTGGACCTCTCCAACCTCTTCGAACTTGTCCAGTCTCCACGCTCCTTCGACCTCCCGGCATCCAGACTCCGGACTCGGCTCGGCTGCACCCTGCCGGCCTGTAGACTGATTCCGCGCAGTGCGGCCGCTGCTCTGTCTCCCTCGCACCGGTACGAAGCGCTCCGTGAGTGCGAGAGAGACCTCCCACTCGGAATCAGTGTGCCGGCCTTGAACGCGGTCCCCGTCCCCGTGGCGGTGCCGCGGTGCCTGCGCAGCCGGCGGTACGGTGCGCTAACGGTACGCGGTGCTGCGCGGCGCTCGGCGGCGCTCGGCGGCGATCGGCGGCGTCGCGAGGCGAGGCTGCTCGCTTTGCGCTGCCTGCCGCTTCCTCTCCGGTCGTTCGTTCGATTCGGATCGGACTGCAGACTGATTCCGAGAGTCGTTTTCGCCGCTCTGTCTCTCTCGCACCCATACGGGACGCCCCATGAGTGCGAGAGAGACAAAGCGATGCGAAAACTACTTTTGGAATCAGTCTGCTGGTCGTGCCTCTGGTCGTGCCTCTGGTCGTGCCTCTGGTCGTGCCTCTGGTCGTGCCTCTGGTCGTGCCTCTGGTCGTGCCTCTGGTCGTGCCTCTGGTCGTGCCTCTGGTCGTGCCTCTGGTCGTGCCTCTGGTCGTGCCTCTGGTCGTGCCTCTGGTCGTGCCTCTGGTCGTGCCTCTGGTCGTGGCCTCTGGTCGTGCCTCTGGTCGTGCCTCTGGTCGTGCCTCTGGTCGTGCCTCTGGTCGTGCCTCTGGTCGTGCCTCTGGTCGTGCCGTGGTTGCACCTGTCGGGGCTCTAGAGTCTGGAGCTAGCGCGGCTAGTGCGGCGGGGAGGCGGACCGGGCGTAGCGGGGCCTGTCCACTCCGTTGCGAAAACCCCTCCCTCCCTCCCCTCCCCTAGTCCGCGCGCATTCCTCTGGAAGGTGCATGAGGCCGCGGGGTATCCTATGCACTGCCATTGAACTGAAACAATGCCGCGCCACCTCGCTCGGGGAGGGAAAGGGGCGGGGGGGGGGGAGTTCCATACCGGCCGACGGGCAGTAGACTGATTCCGAGAGTCTTTCTCGTCGCTCTGTCTCTCTCGCACCTATACGGGACGTGCGAGAGAGACAGCGATGAAAACGACTCTCGGAATCAGTCTGCAGCCTGCACGGCGCCCTTGCGTTCCCCGGGATGGCCGCACTCTCGCAACGCCGCTGCCGTGCTCCGTTTTCATTGAGAGGCGCGTCGTTTCCTCCAGGTGCAAGTCGAGGCGCCTTGGCAGCTCTGCCTCTCTCGCGCCCTCACGGCGTGACCCATGTGAGCGAGAGAGACGCAGAATCTCTGTTCGGAATCGGTCTGTTGAGCTGCGAGCCCACGCCCCTGAAAGACTCGTCCAGTCCATTCCCCCGCGTTGCTGGAACCGAAGCCCTCTTCTGGGGCGGCGGCTGCGGCGGCGTGGCGGCGTGCGTCACAGGGCGCCCTGTGTGTTCCTGGCGACGCTCCTGGACTGCCCCGCGGTGGACAGTGACGGCTTGCAGTGGGGCAGGGCAGTGCGGCCAGTGGGACCAACGCTTTGCGGTGACTGAACCCCCCCCCCCCCCCCCCCCCCCCCCCCGTTACGCCACGCCTGCTGACCGGCTCGCTGAGGAGAACAAGAAGGCCCTGCCCCTGCTGGTCATGCAGCCGGTCTCGCAGCCCGCGATCCCGTTGCCTGGTCGGTCATTAGGGCTGCAGATATCGATCGGGCTGATTGGAATTTGGAATTATTTCGGGCCGCTCGGTTGGCGGCAGGCCGTCGTTGGCAGCCGTTTGCGCGACGAGTCTCTGACCGGCAGGCATGCCATGCATGGCGGTGCACAATGTTGCAAAGGCGGTAAAATCTGCACCGTGTGTGTGTCCG